AATGAAAATGAAATTGCTTTCAAAAAACATACGCATACCACAGAAGCCAAACAAAACAGCAGAGAAACCCGAGAAAGTAACACCAGAAGCAGGGAATAATTGATAAATAAAGCGCCTACTGTTCTCCCCAGTTAACCTTTGAGTCTTAGTCCCCGATTACGCATACGCAATGTGGCCTGCAGACAGGGATTTTTCGACTAGGTCACAAATGGAACAGATACTAGAGGGAAAGAGGGACAGTCGGTGTTAGATAACCCCCAAACTCACAATATGAACTGATGACAGAGGCAGCTCTTCTTGGAGTAGCAGCAACAATCATCTTCAAGAAGCGTAGATAGTCGTCGCTGGAATCACAAAGTAAACCAAGAGTCAGTCGAAGAGTCAGACGAGGAGGCACAAGACACCAAGATAAGTCTGAGCTGAAGCCTGCCCCATTCCCCTCGAGAGACCATGCGCCGAGGGCGAGGCAGAACTTAAAGCTGATTTAGAATCCGATTCGGATTCCTCTCCCCCTCCTTCCAGGGCCTCAGCGGAGAGACAACAACGGAAGCGTTTTACGCAGCCAACTGATTAAATTTATTTATTATGTCACTGAATCTCTTTCGGTGTCCGTCCGTACTCTTGGATGGCAGATGGCGGATGGCACCACTGCCCCACTCAGCCATGAACCAAGGGAGAGCACACTTTATGGTCTGTTCTTATTCTTAAGTCATAATGACAGAGCAATCGTTGGCATTAGGTTCCCTGTTCTGGTAGTTCCCCCTCCCCTCTCCGAGCTCTTATCGCCGCCCATCAATGGATGGCAAATTGAATTTGGTGCCCTGCTTATCAGCTGAGCTCTGGCTTCCATCCTCCTCCATAGCATTCTTTTGTTTAGCAATCCGAGGAGTAGCTGAATGTCGCTTATCTGGTATCCCAAATCCCTGCAAACGCTATCAGATATCGCGATATGGCTCTTGTGCCAAATATTTCACAGATAACAAAAGTGGGACTGTGACCAAGGAGGCACCCGACCCAACCCAATCCAATCCAATCCCAGAGAGAACTCAAGTACGTGCTTCTTTTCAGCGAGAACTTTCCCCTGTACAGGGCCAAACTGCAGTCCAACGCTCAAAGTCTCTTCGGGTTACGTGTGTATTGTTTGGGTTGTTCTTCGACTTCGACGTACTCGTACTTCATGTGTCACCGAGCGATACGAATTAGCTCTTTGGACTGGGGACAGAGGTCGGGGGTTCTTGGTCTTGGTTCTAATCCACGTCTCATGTTTACACGTGTGACCAATTCGCTGTCCATTTGCCGATGAATGTGGTTTTGTTTTCGCTGGGTGGGTCGATGGCTGTTATCAACGGAAACCTGACCAGAGCTTGCAAATGGTATTTATTGGTTTGCAGCGCCTCGCAAGTTCAATTGCTTTCGGCTCTGGAATGGCTCCACACGCTGCTCAGACATGACTCAATGCGGGGCATTAATCATGCGCCAAAAGACCATATTTGCATACAGATATCTATGCCTGAATGTTTAGGCGAACAAAGGGTGTTAGAATACTTTTTGTTTCAGCATCGCTGAGCAGAGATTCGAAAAATGGCAAAACAGAAACCGCAAACAAAAACGAAAATTACTTTTCTACTAATTGCAACTCTGGCACTGCTCTGAGGTCAGCAGGTTTTTTTTCAAGGGGGGGGATGCGATGCCAGCAGATCATTTGCTTGGCCAACACAATGCACAGGAAATTCGCATTTACTCAATGCCAGAGAAAAGCCAACAATAAACCGAAATTAAAACAACAAAAACTCTGCTTTGCAGCACAAACATTTTTCCTTTCTATTGTACTCAGGAATTTCCACAAAGCTCTGGATTGAGTAATGATGCCAAATGGGATGGGCAGTGGCAGGGGGGGGTCAGGGGACAAGCCAAGCAGATGAGGTCGGATTGAAAATCTCTTTCTTTCTCTGAAGATCTAAATGGGCAACTCTAGCAGGGATTGTGGGTGATGAATTTATTTCTAATACCATATTTCATTTATATTTTTCTTTAGAAAAACACTATAGAGTAATTATATTCTGCATCTCGCCAAAGACTGTGCATTTTGTTGCTGGATTCTGGGACCGATTCTTCTGAGACGAAAAAATATACTTCCATGAAAGATAATCCTTAAAATTGTGACTATTCCTGGACTTTCATCCAACACAAAATTATAGTTCGGTTTTCAAAGTATTCTCAGAGATTTCTAAGAATATTTTCCTAATTTTGCAGATGTCTTTGTTCTCAGTTTCGAGATATATCTGTATATCCCATAAGGATTAATTTTCAGCTAATGAACCACCCCCATTTTGAGCATCCACTGTTAATTTCGGGACTAAAACCATCCCCTACCCCTACTTTCTGCCCCTCCTCCTCGAATGACTCCACTCATTTGGATCATTGCCAGCTCAGGTTCGGCTGAGAACCCCATTGACATAGCTCCAACCGCCATTGCATAACACCTGACAAATGCAAAATGCATCGCCGATGCCGATGTGGATGTGGATGTGGATGATGATGGCCTCAAGTGAAAAACACTCACGCAAACATGCAACGCACTTGGGGGTATGGGCCAGCGACTGGGTTCGGGTGGGGTTGGGGGTTCATTCGGATGGGTACTTTACTTTAATAAAGTGCAGTCCAAATTGTGGGCCATCAGGGGATTTTTGAGGTTATACACTTTAAGAGGGTACTAGGAGTTTGATGAAGTGTTTCAGTGAAATTTTCTAGATATATATTGTATTGAATATTCTATGTAATACTTACCTTAGCTCTTATCCAGTTTCTTCCTGAAGGACACCTCTTTTTTATCTAGAAGAAATGCAGGAAAGTTTAAATATTTCAAGAAGACTGTCAGAATTTCTATACTATATATCTACGCCTCTATTTAAGAGTATCAAAAGATTCGTACCACTAGACTTGCTTTCCCTTCTTGTTGCTTTTGTGGCTGCTGCTGCTGCTGCTGGTGGTGCCTCGGTTTTCGCTGCTGCTGCCCTCTGCTGCTGTTGCAGCCACCGTGGCGTCAATTATCGCCGCTGTACGCAAAGTGGGGCAGGCAAATAATAAAAACGCGCCCAAACGCAGTCGCCGTCAGGCTCAAAGCACTTCATTGTCAAATGAGCTTAAACACGCCCCTGGAGTGCCCCTGCATCGGGCTGCATCTCCGTCCGCCTCTCGATTCTCGTTTTCATTTATGCACCAGCTCCAGCTCTCTTTGCGGCGTTTTCATTTTCGTTTTGTTTCGTTCGCTCTATTCATACCCTTTCTTGTGGGGGGCATTTCCATTTTTAGTTGGCTTTTGGCAGGCCACGACGAAAGCAGAGAAGGTTGTGGGACGCGGCAAGGGCTACGGCTCTACTTTCAACGTCTAAGCAGCACAGAAAAGAGAGCTGCTATTATTCAAGGATATGACAACACTTCCTCACTTAAATTGAATAATGAAAGGGTATTCTTCGATTTGTTGGGATTATTTTTGCTTAACTTTTGGCGCTGTTTTGTTCGCCGTTTTCACGCCTCACTTGCCGCCTTGTTTGCCTCGTTCGCTGATTGATGGCGACGACGACGACGACGACGTCGCTTCGACTTCAGTTCCGTCTCCGTCGCCGACTCCGGGGCTGTCTCCGTCCATGTGTCCGCGCAGGTGTCGCCGCCTAATTAAATGAAGGCAACGCTCACGCATGCGTAACCCAATCGACAAACAGTGGAAGCAGCAGTGGCAGAGGCAACCGCAGCAGTGACTGGGGCAGAGGCCCCTCCCTCCTTCATTTTGCCCTTCGCGACGCATTGTTGAGAAAATGGGTCAATATGCAATTATTGCATTTTTCGCTCTGTGAGAGCCGCAGCTTCGCGCGACTTGCGTCACACATGGAGTTCGCAATAATCATAATATGGCTACTTCACTTGGCAAAGCAATCAAGCCGAGGCCCCCAGAGCTGTTGATTTTGTTAATATTTGCCCAATGGCCTTCCCCCCAGATGCCGCCACTCCCGCATTTCGTGGAGACCGTGGAGAGCCGCAACCATGCCACGCCATGCAACACCACAATCGATGCACAAGTTCTATGAGGCACTCGTAATAAAGCGACGCCAGACATGGGAGCGATGCAAATCTGTTCGATGTGCTCCACTTTTGGCGGAAGAACAAGACTCTTTTTCGTTGGAGATATGAGATTTGTTTGTGGGAGGGCAGAACAACTTTTGGCGCCATAGGTTCCTTCTGTTCACAGTGTCGTAATTAGTGCGTAATTAGCTCTAGCTTTGTACAAGCTAAGCCCGCTCGAGAGCCGTGTGGATCGTGAGAGCGAAAGCGAGCCCGCTCTTAGGGCGCTGCAGCACGCTGTCAGAGAGCGCTAACAGTGAGCTGCAGCCGGCAGCGAACACTTTTGGCGGAAGAACAAAGAGTCTTTTTCGTTGGAGATGTGAGATTTAGGTTCCTTCTGTTCACCTTGGCGGCTAGTGCGTAATTAGATCTGGCTTTGCACAAACTAAGGTCGCCCGAGAGCCGTGTGGATCGTGAGAGCGAGAGCAGCACGCTCTCAGAGTGCGCTAACAGTGAGCTGCAGCCGGCAGCGGCCACAGGCTGTTACGAAGAACGGTAGCAGGCTGTTAGCAAAGAACGGTAGCAGGCTGTTAACAAAGAACGGTAGCAGGCTGTTAACGAAGAGCGGTAGCCGGCTGTTAACGAAGAGCGGCCACAGGCTGTTAACGAAGAACGTTCGCAGGCTGTTAACGAAGAACGGTAGCAGGCTGTTAACGAAGAGCGGTAGCAGGCTGTTAACTTGAGTGTTAACAGCGCTGGTTTCCTGTTAGAACTGCTGCTCTGAACAGGATCCAAAGGTTGGACTTTATGTTAGTTCCAAATGGAAACCCACCTAAGGAACCTTTAATCTCTATATGAATCTCTCACCTTTTGAAACCCTGTCTAAACACACTGTTTTTTTTTTATTATATGTAAAATGTTTTGAATTTTAGTTTACAACTCAAAATTTCCACTTTCTTTCGGCCCTCCACGGCACCAAATTTAGTGTCGGACATTCAGCAGCATGCAGGCTATGTTGACTGGGGAAAGATACTTAAAATTGGTAAGACCCAACTGCCCAGAAGCTGCAACTGAATGAAGCTAATGCTGGACCCATCATAGTTCAGGAACTGCAGGCGTTTTTATAGGCAAAACAAGACAATGCTGCCACATGAATACCTCTGCGAATCGTCCACAAGGGAACAGAGTATCAAGACGTCAGCTATCCCTGCTCCGCCGCCGCCACCAATCCATAGACCATGCACCTGCAAGACACAACCTAGTCTCCACGCGCACTACTCACTCTTCAGATCAATCAACACTTCGAACTGGACATCTGGCGGGATCAATGAGACACCCTACTCGTCGTATCGACCACCGCAGCCACTGCCAGTTCATAAAGTTGCTGCCCCAAAAACCCGCCCTGATATCCCTCCTCCGCCACCGCCACCACCTCCTGCACTACCAGTCGGAGCACCCCGTAGACCGTACAACTGGATGACACCATCTAGGCACAGCCGGGACCTATTCGCAAATCTCATCACTGTGAGATGGGCATCCGGGAAGTGCACTGGTCCACCGAAGGAGCCGCCCACTGAGAAGCCGCCCTCGTTCTGCGAGTGTATGCCAGAACCGCCGTGCTCGTCTGATCCACCACCTTGTGAGAAGGTAGCACCGCTGCCACAATCGAAGCCTCCGCCAATTGACAAGGACTGCAAGGCGACTGAGGAGAGACTTCCATGCCCTAAAAGAGAACCAAGGAAGGAAAAGAAAAAAAAGCAGCCTACCCAAGAATCTTCGGCAAAAGCATCCAAAGGTAGTGCATCGAAAGGTAGTGCATCCAAAGCTACTCCACCTAAAGATGCTCCTCCCAAAGCTGCTGCACCCAAAGCTGCTGCTCCCAAAGCTGCTCCTCACAAAGATGCAGCCCCCAAATCTACTGCCCCTAAAGCTGCTGCTCCCAAGGCTGCTGCTCCCAAAGCTGCTCCTCCCAAAGATGCAGCCCCTAAAGCTACTCCACCTAAAGATGCTGCCCCCAAAGCTACTGCTCCTAAAAGTGATCCCCCAAAAGCTACTGCTCCCAAGGCTGCTGCTTCCAAGGCTGCTGCTCCCAAAGCTGCTCCTCCCAAAGATGCCGCCCCCAAAGCTGCTGCTCCCAAAGATGCCGCCCCCAAAGCTGCTGCTCCCAAAGATCCAGCTCCCAAAGCTGCTGGAATTCCTCCTCCCCCACCGCCACCACCTCCTGGAGTACCTGTAAATAAACCGCAGGAACCCCCAGTTGGCGCCGAACCAGCACCCAAACCCTCTCCCCCGCCGCCGCCTCCACCAATGCCACCTGCCACTTCCCAACCAGGATTGATACAGTACAAGTCCGCTATGCCCAATTCCCCTAGTCCTTGTGAAAGGCCGCCAAAAGAAAAAGAGGAAGCAGGAGCCTGCACCACCGAAGAGTCAAAGGAGAAACCACAATGTCCAAAAGAAGAGAAGGAGCCAGAAGACCCACCTAATCCCTGCCTGTTGGCATTTATGGAAAGGCATCGTCTCAGTGGTAAGCCGCCACCAAAGGGAGGCTGCTATGTGGTTAAGACCTCTCGCCGAAAATCAGCATGTCCTCGAGACAAAGAGGAAGCCAGCTCTGAAAGTAAGCCATCTCCCAAAGAAGGATCTAGCTCTAGGTGCAAGTCAGCTGCCAAGGAAACAGCCGGTTCTAAGTGCAAGTCAGCTGCCAAAAAAGAAGCTAGTTCTAAAACGAAGCCGCTTTCCAAAGAAGCAGCCAGCTCTAAACCGAAACCACCTCCCAAAGAAGGCCCCAGCTCTAGATGCAAGACAGCTCCCAAAGAAGCAGCCAGCTCTAAACCGAAACCATCTGCCAAAAAAGAACCCAGTTCTAAATGCAAGCCCCAGCCTAAGGAAGGACCCAGTTCTGGCTGCAAACCCTCTCCCAAGGAAGGACCCAGTTCTGGCTGCAAGGCCGCTATCAAGGAAGGAGCAAGTTCTGGCTGCAAGCTCTCTCCCAAGGAAGGACCCAGTGCTGTATGCAAGACCAGTCCTAAGGGCAAACCCTCATCTAAGGGCCCTGCTAGTCCGGGAAGCAAGCCCCCTACCAAAGAAGCGGCCAAACCCTCATCTAAGGGCCCGGCCGGTCCTGGAAGCAAGCCCCCTCCCAAGGAAGGAGTCAAAACTGGAAGCAAGCCCTTATCCACAGCACCAAGAAGTCCTGCGGGACAGTCCCCATCCAAGGGACCATCCGGTCCCGGCAAGCCACCCTCTCCTCAGACAGTCAGTAAGGCAATGACCACAGCAGCAATTGTGCAGCCTAAGGTCACGGCTAATGCCCCACCTGCACCGAAGCTCAAAGCTAAGGCGGCGCCTTCAAAGCCCAAGGCCAAGAGTCCTAAGACACCGCCCCCGCCGCCGCCGAGCGTGGCGCCCTCGTCCAGCCAATGCACCCAAGCCGGAGGCGATCAGAGCCACTGTGAGGCCAATAAAGCCCAGCTACTGTGTCAGCCGGTGGTGCCGCTAAAGGACACCATCCAGCGATATCTGTGCAGCATTCAACCGCACCTGGAGCCCGACGAGTTCGTGGAGGAGCAGAAACTAACCCTCGAGTTCCAAGATGGCGAAGGCGCGAAGCTGCAGAAGATGCTGGAGGATGTGGCCTCGTGCAGCAGCAATTGGCTGACACCGCGCTGGACAAATGCCGCCTACTTGGGCTACAGAGCACCGGTTACCATCTTCTCGAGTCCCTGCCTGACCTTGCCCATGCAGGACTTTAAAACCGAACGGGACTACAGGCTGTTCACGGCCAAGGTGATCTTCGGGATGTGCGAGTTCAAGGAGATGGTGGATAACAATGGCATACCCGTGACAAAGATGTGCTGCCACGATCTGGACAACAGTCAGTTTAGGAAGATATTTGGCACGGTGCGAAGGCCGGGTCGCTTCTGCGATAGCATCGAACAGAACAATGAGTCCCAGTACGTGGTGGTCATCCATAGAAATAATGTAAGGATTTACCTTCCCTTTAAATCTAAGAGAAACCCCGAAATACTAACCCCATTCTCAGTTCTTTAAGCTACCTGTCATTGGCGCGGACTGCAAGATTGTTCATGTCCACAGTCTGGCCGATCAACTGGGGAGCATTCTCCACTGTCCCATGGAGAGGGGCGTGCCCATTGGCCTCCTCACCCACGACAATCGCGACAACTGGGGCGAGGCCTATACGTATCTCTGTCGTCCTGAGGGCAACAACGAGTCCATTGTCCACGCCATCGAGCAGTCCCTCTTCGTCGTCTGCCTGGATGACTGCGTGAATGTGCCCAGGAATGGAGCTAGTGCCGTGCACGCCGCCCAGCTCTTGCATGGCGGCGGTCGCCATCAGAACAGCGCCAATCGTTGGATGGACAAGACGATCCAGCTGATTGTCAACCCCAACGGCATGGCTGGCTTCTGCTACGAGCACGCACCCGCCGACTGTCAGCCGCTGGCCATGCTCATGGACTTTGTGCAGCGGAATATGTAAGTCCTAAGACTCAGAGGAATAGGGGAGTAGTCCTACTCAAACCCTTTCCCTTCCCCCTTTACAGAACTCAACCAAATTATGGCTGCCAGTGCTGCAGCACTTCCAAGACGAAATCAGCCACCGTACTCTGCTTCGATCCGTTCAGCGATTGCGTGGATCTGTTCCTGTGCGAGGCGAAGCGCAACATTGACAAGATCTGCAGCCGGCTGCAGTTGCACGTCTTCAAGTACGAGTGTCACGGAAAGAGCTTCATCAAGGCGCAAGGCTTGAATGCGGACAGCTACATACAGATGGCCCTGCAGTTGGCCTACTACGAGTGCCACAGCAAGCTGCCGGCCCAGTACGAGTCGGCCCACCTGCGGATGTTCGAGGAGGGACGCACGGAGACCATACGCTCCACCTCGCGGGAGTCTCGCGCCTTTGTCGAGGCCATGGCCCTGTCGCCGGGCTCCAACAAGAAGCGTCTGATGGCCCTCCGCTCAGCAGTGGACTCCCATCAGGAGCTGACCAAACTCGCCCTCCAGGGGCGGGGCATCGATCGGCATCTATTGGGGCTGCAGCAGATGGCCAAGGAGAACGGTCTGCCGACGCCCGAGTTCTTTAAGTCGAAGGGGTTTACCAAGTCGGTCAGCTTCCAGGTGTTCAGCTCCCAGGTGGCCAGCAGCCATGATGCCTTCATGGCGTACGGGCCCCTGATCGCCAACGGCTATGGCTGCTGCTACAATCCACGCGACAAGGAAATTATATTCTCCGTCTCGGCATGGGGCCCCAACAAGGAAACCGATCCCGTGCGATATGGCAAGGCGATAGAAAAGGCCTTGGACGCCATGAGAAAGCTGGTCCTCAAGACGGGCGGCGATCGTGTGGGCGAAGATGTCTGCAAGTGCCCCGATGTGGGACCACCCCAGTAGAGCCATCGCACACCTCAGGGCAAACACACTTTCGCCATCTTTCACTTGATTTCTTCCACAGACGCGACTACGTATATGCATGCGCCGAGAGCCGCTCTAAGTGGGTTCGGGTTCAGGGTCAGGGCCGTGCTTAAAAGCCAAAACAATAAGCATTACTCATGCCCGAAACACGCTCTCCTCTGGCCAGGCCCGATCGTGGTGGCGATCGAGAGAATACGAGTATTAGCCTGGCTCGGGGAGAGATTGCAGCCCACGGGGATCGAGGGGAGATCAGTCTCTTGTTAATTAATAAGTCAATCGAGTCAGATGCAAATGTAATAATATATCATACGACACACACCGAAAGAGAGATTTTAAGAGAAATAAATGTATTAAGAGAGACACACACTGTTTCGATGACGCGCTCTCAATCGAAGATGAAGAATTCTCCCAAATCGGTTCATCATTCCATCATCAGTCGAGTGCTCCTCCCATCCCATCCATCTGCTGGACGACTGACCCACTTGCCTCATGAATGCGGCGCCTTCTTCTGCTGCCGCGGGGGCAAAGAGTCAACCCCTGGTCCCCGTCCCTGCCCCTTCCTCCTCTAGTGGCTGCCCAGTTCTTATGCAACATTTGCAGATGCAGTTCGTTCTCTCGATTCTCGATTCTCGGTTCTCGGTTGTGTGCTCTTTTGCCGTTTGCAATTTTATTGCTAAATTAAGTAATTGGTCCAAGAAGCAACTGCTTCTCCATCCATCGTGCCCCTCTCTGGATGCCCTGCATTCAGTGTGGATTCTTGCAATCTAAATGTTGCTCCGCCGCTTGTGTTTGCATTTGTATCTGTATCTATTAGAGCGCTGCGGGCTTCGGGGTATCTGCATCTGTGCCTCGCGAGGCTAGGCGCACAATGGGAGGCACAAGAAGCATGAGAGGCGTGCTCTGTGTTCTTTTCTTTCCTCCGCTGCTGCGCCCTGTGGCCCTGCGTTTGCTTTCCATTTCGAATGTATCTTGCAGATGCATTTTGGACACTGAGGAGACGGGGAGGGACATGGAAGGGCAGCGCGCTGAATGCAGGCCGCGCAAAACCAAAATAATGCAAAAATGAAAACGAAAATGAAGTCAAAGAGGCCACGCCATGGCAAGAGTAGAAGTATCTTTGTATCTGTGTGTGTGTGTGTGTGTGTGTGTGTCTGAGTGTCTGTTTGCTTGCGCAATTTTGCAGATACTAGAGAGAAAATGGTCTGGGCTTCTGGTACTTGCATTCTGAAGATTCTTTTGGGGCAACGCTCTCATTCCTCTCCACAAAAAGACAACAAAAAGATGAACGTTTGGCGAACAAAAGTCAAAGAAAACTGAAACTTTTTATGGATTCCGAATGGCCAGACATAAAATGGCATTACGAATTAATAAATAAAGAAATCCGAGGAGGAGAGGCCATAAAATGAAGCAGCAGGCAAAGCAGATGAAATGAAATTCCAAGGTCGTCGGCAAAAGAATATTTTTTTTTTTTTTTTTTTCGTTAGCGTGTTTATGAAGATTTTTGACTCGCGGCAAAGAAGAAGACGTCCGGTGCCCCTCCTCAGTTTGTTTAAAGAAGAATTAGTCGGTCGATCGGGGAGGTGGAATGGAATGGAATGGAATGGAACTGGAACTGGAATGAACGAGAGATCGGCCAGGGCCCTGGGGCTGACTGAGTGGAGGAGTCTCTCAGGTAAGGTAATGCGACAAACGAAAGAAAAAGGCACCGCCGAAAAAAAGTTTAATTTCAATGCTAATTAAAGAGTTGCCCAGACGGAGAATTGAATCCGATTCGAGCCTGAGACTCCCCCCCCCCCCCAACTTGGGTTCGACTTAAAGTATATACTCTCGCATATAGTATATATATCTGAATCTGAATTTATGTGCACGGCTTTCTTTGAATTGCGCAGCGACAAAAGATTTGCGTTGTGTTTTTTCTGGGTCCGAAATTGGGACTGGGATTGGCTCTGACTCTGTGACTCTTTGGTGCTGATGCCATCGCTGACCTTGACCCCAATGATATCAGAAGCCAATAAAGCCAGAACACCCGCTCCTTGGGATTCTATAAAAAGCACACAAACGAAACATCAGTTAAGACTAATTGAGTTTTGGCTAAAATTGGTCAAAATGCGCAGCGGCAGCAACGGCAGCAACGGCACCACAAGAGGCACACAGAGCCACGACAAGAGCATCCACTCCCCACCGCACCGCACCAGAGGCAGAACCAGACCCAGCAAAATCAAAGCAATCCAATCCAATCCGAGACGAGACGAGACAAAACGCCAGCAAATCCATCAACGACAACAACTGGCGACGATGACTGCGCTGCAAAAAGCTCACCTCTGGCACCTCGTACTTCCATTTACCTGCCTGCCGGCCACCTACAGGTGACATCATCAGCCATCGGCAGCAGCACCGACAATTACTTGGAACACAAATACGAGTAAAGATATCTGCGAGGCTCAAACTGCAGCAGCAGCATGGAACATGGAGCATGGAGCACCATGGAGCAGCATGACAAGGCACCAAATGGTTCCAAATCGAAACCGAAAGCCACCAAATAAACAAACAAACAGAGAAACGAAGAAACGCAGAGTCTGTGTAGCGGAGAATCGGAGAGAATCGTTGTCCAAGTGCCCGCGAGTCGATCGATGCTGCAGGCGCACCATAAATGGCTCTAAGGCTGTGCTTTGCCCGCGATTACTCATACGCCATGTGGTCGCGGTTTCAGTTTTATATGTTCTATATGCCTGCAGGTACACAAAGAGAGAAAGAAGGGAACTGGATCTCTAATTGAAAGATCTCTTGTGACTTTGAAGATCGATTACTTCGGCCATAAAAGGATTCATGAAGAAGTCTCTAGAGTACTGAGAATCTTTAATGGAATCAAGGTAAGGAAAAATAGTACTTTGTGGATCATTAGCAATACTCCACTGGGTTTTAAATAGCCATCACATCATTAGCATTAAAAGTGGTGGCATGGTGTAGATCACCACTTTATGGCTACCGAAAGAGATGACTGCTCTATGATTAATGAGCGAACGAGCGAACTGATCTCAGGCCCATGTTTGCTGCTCTACGTTCACTTAATTGGTTAATTAATTTGTATAAATTTGTGTAAATATTAAGTCATTTAAATGGCAACCAAGTGACGCAGATATCTCTTTCGTTTATATACACATATATGGCAGGCAGTAATTAGGTTTCGGCAGTTTTGTTTGGCTCTTTTTCGGTTTGATTTTCTTTTGTTTGAGATCATTTTGGGGCGGTGGCAGTCCCTTCTCCACTTGGGCCACTCTGCGGAGTCAGGCCGCCACTCAAGTGGCAATTAGTGTTGACATTCATTAGCTGCGATTAAAATGAGATCAGATTGTGGCCAGCGACGATGACGAGCAGCACGTGAGACTCCGCCTCGGCCACAGAGCCCCAACTCCGTGTGAATCACACTTTAACCGACGAGTGGCGAGGGGCGAGGGGAGAGGGGAGAAGGCCGCCAATGATGGCTAATGATGCCAGGGGAATAAGTCGCAATTCCCTGGAACGAATCGTTCATTACGCAAGCTGCAGCACATCCAAATGCATCTGTTGCCTCTTTGACTTTGTTGTTTTCGGTTTTTTGCGGCCTGCACTCGGCGCCCCTATCAGTGCCTTCCCTCGAGTCCGAACTGCATCTGCAAGATACATTCGAAATGGAAAGCAAACGCAGGGCCACAGGGCGCAGCAGCGGAGGAAAGAAAAGAACACAGAGCACGCCTCTCATGCTTCTTGTGCCTCCCATTGTGCGCCTAGCCTCGCGAGGCACAGATGCAGATACCCCGAAGCCGACAGCGCTCTAATAGATACAGATACAAATGCAAACACAAGCGGCGGAGCAACATTTAGATTGCAAGAATCCACACTGAATGCAGGGCATCCAGAGAGGGGCACGATGGATGGAGGAGCAGTCGCTTCTTGGACCAATTACTTAATTTAGCAATAAAATTGCAAACGGCAAAAGAGCACACAACCGAGAACCGAGAATCGAGAATCGAGAGAACGAACTGCATCTGCAAATGTTGCATAAGAACTGAGCAGCCAATGGAGGAGGAAGGGGCAGGGACGGGGACGGGGAAGGGGACCAGGGGTTGACTCTTTGCCCCCGCGGCAGCAGAAGAAGGCGCCGCATTCATGAGGCAAGTGGGTCAGTCGTCCAGCAGATGGATGGGAGGAGGAGGAGCACTCGACTGATGATGGAATGATGAACCGATTTGGGAGAATTCTTCATCTTCGATTGAGATTAGCAATGAAGCGCGTCACCTCTCCCTCCCTCTTTCTGCCCCTAAATGTTTGCTGACTCGAGTGACTTTTAATTAGCGACTAAGAAAACGAATGAGACTGAGCCCCGACTGATCTGAGAGTGACTGATCTCCCCTGGAGCCCCGTGGGCGTTCGCATGTGCTGGCTGCACTTGAACGATCTCTGTCTCTGTCTCTCTTTCCCTCCCTGAGTCAGGCTAATATTCTGTTCGGTTCGTTTGAGGGGACGGACGGACCGGGCCAAAGGTGAGTAATAAGTGAGAGATCGTATATGGCTTGTATATGGCGCTGTGGATGCTTCCACAGAAATTGCCAAGTTTTTAGTTGAATGTTCACCTTGAACTTGACCAAAACAGAGACAGAGTGGGACAGAGACAGCCGTCAGGCGACAGCCGAGAGGTAATGAGTTAGATGGATTTCACTTGTTTGAATTTTCCATCTATCTTTCAGTTGTTCTTTTTTGCAGCTGCATTTGGGCGCTGCTCATCGAAGCAGAACGTATTTAAATGCTGAAAAACATTTCTGCCGTTTGGTTAGATAAATATGAATGCGAATTTTGTTTGGTGGGACCCCTCGCCCACTCGCCCACAGCGCGAGAGAGAGAGGTGATGACGATTTTTGTTGGCCTGGCCAAAAAGCAGAAATACGACAAAGTACGAGTAATTACGTGAATCGGTGGGGGAGAGACAGACAGGGCGACGGAGAGGCACGAGTGAAAGAGGGGAGAATCGACAGCAGGTTATGCAAGTTCAAGGCCAAAAACTCTGCATTAATTATAATTATTTTTGCATTTTTTAAGCGCAGAGAGGCAGCAGCAACAACAACAATGCTAATTGTCTGGGGCGCAATGCAAAAGAAGAAAAACAGGTAAATGCAGAGTTTAACAGCAACAAAAACGTTGATTTTTGCCCAAATGTGGTAATTAATTGTGGCCAGAAATCAGTGGTGGTAGAGTCCCTGGACGTAACCTGCACAGGGTTAATGCCAGGGGCACGTGACAGAGTAAGCCCCCTCCCCAGACCCCACTCCCAGCCCAGGCACTACGCTCTCTCTTCAAGCCCCCGCCGGCTCCATTTGTGGCTCTTGTTTCAGCAAACTCTAACACTCTTGATGACCCAAGACGAGCTAATTCGTACCGCTCTGTGACACGTGTACAGTGAAGAACAACCCAAACAACACACACGTAACCCGAAGAGACTTTGAGCGTTGGACTGCAGTTTGGCCCTGTACAGGGGAAAGTTCCCGCTGAAAAGAAGCACGTACTTGAGTTCTCTCTGGGATTGGATTGGATTGGATTGGGTTGGGTCGGGTGCCTCCTTGGTCACAGTCCCACTTTTGTTATCTGTGAAATATTTGGCACAAGAGCCATATCGCGATATCTGATAGCGTTTGCAGGGATTTGGGATACCAGATAAGCGACATTCAGCTACTCCTCGGATTGCTAAACAAAAGAATGGCATGGAGGAGGATGGAGGCACCAAATTCAATTTGCCATCCATTGATGGGCTGCGATAAGAGCTCGGAGAGGGGAGAGGCAACTACCAGAACAGGGAACCTAATGCCAACGATTGCTCTGTCATTATGACTTAAGAATAAGAACAGACCATAAAGTGTGCTCTCCCTTGGTTGATGGCTGAGTGGGGCAGTGGTGCCATCCGCCATCCGCCATCCAAGAGCACGGACGGACACCGAAAGAGATTCAGTGACATAATAAATAAATTTAATCAGTTGGCTGCGTAAAACGCTTCCGTTGTTGTTTCTCCGCTGAGGCCCTGGAAGGAGGGGGAGAGGAATCCGAATCGGATTCTAAATCAGCTTTAAGTTCTGCCTCGCCCTCGGCGCATGGTCTCTCGAGGGGAATGGGGCAGGCTTCAGCTCAGACTTATCTTGGTGTCTTGTTCCTCCTCGACTGACTCTTCGTCTGACTCTTGGTTTACTTTGTGATTCCAGCGACGACTATCTCCGCTTCTTGAAGATGATTGTTGCTGCTACTCCAAGAAGAGCTGCCTCTGTCATCAGTTCATATTTTGAGTGTTTAAGAAGCGTTCAGCTCTTTCAATTCCTCCCGTTTTACGACCTCCTGTATCTCCATCTTCTCTGTGGGGTTATCTCAGCGAGACTCTCCATATCTGTGTCTGCTTCTGGTGTCTGTTCTATGTGGAATCGAGACATTGAAGCTCTGGCTGCGGGCCACGTGGCGTATGCGTAGTCGCGGAGGCAGACAAAGACTGGGACTGGGACTGGGGCTCAAAGGGCAATTGTGGTGTGACACTGAGCAGAGTGTTCGGAGCCGGCAGCTAACATACTTTTCCAATTATTTGACACACTCTCACACATATTTCCCTTTTATTAACACATTTCATTTGATGGCTGGCAAACGCGTCGTCGCGAGTGTTTTTCCATGAATTTTGCCGCTTTGGAAAATGTTGCTTCCTCTTCGCTGATTGTTTGTTTGTCCGCCAGGCGGGGAGGGGGGGGGGGATGGCGCTTAATCCTTAATTAAAATCATGATAATATTTAAAGGCACCCGCGCACATCCCCCCACACCGAAGGAAAGTGAAATTTAATGGGGAAATATATTTAATTGAAATTTAAATGCCTGTGGAAAGTCCTTTCGGCGGTGCCTGCCTCCTGAACAATTGTGCGGCTTTAATTATTTACAACTCCAATTTGGTTTGCCATATGTTGTCTGAGGGCAAATAATTAGCAAAGGCAGCCCCATTTCAATTTAAGTCACAATTTAATGAATGGATGCGTGTGCGTGTGCGTGTGCGTATCTGTGTGGCAAGTGAATTTGCATAGTAATTGCCATTGAAAATACACGTAATTAATTGTTCTGTTCCTTTTAGTATTGTTTGTTTTTTGATCGATTTGTCGGAGTCTGAGATTGTCTCTATCGGATGGCAAGGCGTGGGAAATTCAATTAACTTTATTTACAGTTCAAGCAGGATTTTCCAGGCTTTAGATTTACACAAACACACTTAAAAAATACTCAGAAATTCAAGACGGGCTTACACGTGAAGATGGTTGAAGGTGGCTGGGCATAAATTCCGCCAACCAGTTTTAAGAGTTATTTATTTGTTTTATAAATTATTTGAACACAGCACATACGGCACTTAAATGATCTACAGCTATAACTAATCTTCCCTGCTTATTGTTTGCCCCATAAATTCCCCTTCCCTCCAACCCATAACAGAATTGATTGCCCGGCAGCCTTGACCCATTTCCACTTTGATCTGGGATGGCGTCACCCAGAGATACCTACTATTACTTTCACTGAACACAACTCTCGGCTCTAAATGTCTATAATCTGGCAATTTATGCTAATAAGTAATAAGGGGGGAACAAAGAGGAAACCAACGCTTGGAAGAAGAAAAAACTGACGCTGGAAACATAAATTAGCATATTTATGCGATGGTCAAGCCCAGAGTTCTGATATCTGTGTTAATTACTGGAAACGAATCTGCGGACAAACCAGTTCTACATAAACTGTTTTGACTTCCGCATCATGAATAAAATTAGGTATATTTTTTCAAATCCATAACACATTAAAATTGAATGAACTGAAAGCCCGAATCACTATGGGAGGCCCTGTCGGAGCCTCCTCCACGGCTCGGGGCATCGCCTCCCCAGTGGCTGTCATCAAAATTCGTGGCTCCATCGAATGCTGCCACTCGACTCAGGATCTCATCTGTGTCGGCATTGTGCGCACTGTCGCTCCATGCCAATTTCTCATCACTGCCATCACCGATGTACTGATGTATGCCCGATGCAGCGATCACCGAATAGATTGCTCCACAGAGGAATAGGAGTCCCAGAATGGATTGCATTTCGCTCAGGCGGCTCTTGACTGAATGTCAGCTGGCGGCCACCGAGCTGGGCTTTTATAGCCTTGTCTGGGTTATCAGTAAAGCGCAGTGATTGACATTATATACACTTTCAATATACCGGCAGTTCTCTGTAATCTGTCGTCAATGAATGTTGGGAAATTCCACAGAAAGCTCAGAGTGCATAGACGCGCAGATTACCGCAAAATTAATTGATATCTTAAGTGAGTGACGGGCACTGGCACTGACTGGACACTGACTCTGGATAGTATGATTACCTGGAATAGTTTGCAGAGACTCCTAAAGGGATTCCAATTAAATTTCAAATACAAATCTTTAATCATCTTATTTTCAGGAATTAATTTACATCCTTATCATCCTCCAGCAAATAATCATCTAGAGAATAATCAGTTCCATTTGTAGCTCCTGTAATGGACTGCCACCAGAGTTGGACACGTTCCTCCATGGCATTCATGTACTGCTCGGCACTGTTGTCGCCGCTCCCGGCGTCCTCCTCCAGTTCCTGTCTAACGGGATCAAGCACCGCTGGGGTATGGGGCGCCGCCATCACTGCACACATTAATCCACAGAGCAGGAATACAACAGAGTAGCTCTCCATACTGCTCACTCATCGAGGGGGAACTGCACTTTTCAATTCGATTTTGCACGTTTTTATAGTTCAGCGAGATCGGCGATAATTCTTCCTCATTCTGGGATTTACACGACTTGGGGGGATATTTCCAAGTACCCCGTCCAAGCCGGGTTTTCTCATTGAGTCAGCAGTGGCCAAGCCTAAATATGCATGGCGTATACGCCACGTTGTAGCCGGCGGTTGGACAGTGACTAAAGTAAGTCTACGCTGAGGCTGTGGTTGATTAAAGTCTTCTAAGGAACACCATTTATGTAAAGATCTACATTTTAATTGATATTTTTCCAGCTTGAAGCTTTATTTTTGCTGTTAACATACTGCCTGCAGAGACTGTCTGTGATGCATCTCTACCCCAGTTGGCAGGCCATAAAAAAGCTGTGCATAGACTCAACGCCAGCGCGTCGATGCTGCTGGCAACCCCTAAATGACTTGACTACCAGCCATCGACCACTTCACTTCGCTTCGTTGCTTCAATCCCTCTGCTTCTGCTTCTGCTTCTGCTCCTCTGCTACTCTGCTCCTCTGCCACTTTATTCAATTTTCCAAAGCGAGCGCACAGATGTAGCCACCCCTCCTGTAGCCACCCCTCCACCTACGATGTGCTCACGAGGCTAATGCCCTTTTATGGCTTTGGAGTGTGCCGCGTCAGCAAAAGCAAACTTGCAGCAGCGCACGAACAAGACCATTAGATGCGGCACATTCAGTACACAGCTCCATCCTCGACTCTGCTTCGTGGGGGCGAGCACACCATCCCCTGAGCGCTGAAACCACTGAGACTTGTCTCTAAATATGTTTCACATTTGCATCATCCTCAGCATCCTCATCATCATCATGGGAGTCTGTGGCCTGAGGGTGCCACACCATTGAAATCAAATCCAAGTGTTATACAAAATCAGTGTCATTGGTTTTGCTAAACAATTTCTCTGCTTTCAGGTTGCTTTATTGCATTTTAATTGATTATGCAACAAAGTTTGTACAGGTTGCACGATCGGGTTGAACACGCACCACCACATTTTCGGATATATTATTGATCCTGAGGACTTCCAAAGCATTTTTATAGATGGTTGGACTGGGGTTCTTACTTCGGGTCCATACCCGAAAGACCACTGGAATATGTATGTATTTTTGATTTAGGAAACTTTGACCAACGCATGTCAACGAATTTCTCAACAAATGGTTTAAGCAATGCCAATAAAATAACTTTTAACTTGAAATAGTACTCACTGACAAAATCATCGTCACTTTGGTCGCATCTGTAAATGATTAGATAGCTGATATTATCCGTAGAAAGCACATGCTGATCCTTAGGGGTTCGGGCAACGATACGGGGCAAGTCGTCTATTGAATAGAAGGGAAATGCATACTCATACAAGTCAGGCCATGGCGAATTCAATCAGCGAATATAATACCTTCGACACACTTGTTCTTGTCTTTGCGCCGACGGTCTCCAAAGGGCGGTGTTAAGCCAATCAGAAACCAGTTTCCATTGAGCTAAGGCAAATATAGAGGGCTATAAGGCTGCTATTTTGAACTGTTACGATCCTCACCCTATCCTCTTCGATTGCTGATATGTTTCTACGCATCAGACTGGGGCATTCCGTTACTTTTAGCATGGGCAGTAGTTCATTGTGTACCATATCATACATCTGATTGTAGCGCCTTATATAGGGGGTATTCGCTGACCCATGTTCGTGGCTTCCATGACCGTTCACCAAATGCAATGAATAAAGTCCCAGGCAAGCCAGCAGCGATAATACACTGAAAAGGTACCTTGAGTATCTGCTGATGTGGTTAGGTTTTTTACTTACATTGTTAGACACTTTCGCATGTTCTTTACTGTAAAGCTGTCTCGGTTATGAGCTTATTTTCAGTTGGTGCTTGTAATGGGATTTTGAATGGTTTTCTTCCATTAAGCGGTACGATTATGGTTGGCATTAGACACACCACTTTCTGAGGACTGCTGTATCCAATTGAATATTAGGAGGGTGTATACCAATGAATATATTATTTGATTCCCATTTGAGTACAATTCTTCCATATCAATAGGTTTTGTATTGTTTTCTTATCGTTTTTATTGCTTCCATTATCGAAACAGTGCTTTTTTCCATTTCATTCCACTGATATCGGTTACTTGGGGCATTGTTCTTTCCCATTGTACCTTAAAAAAAAGGAAATCGTGTTATTTTTCGAGTAATATACCAATCAATATATTATTTGATTAAAGTTGTAATACAACTCTTCCGTTTCAATGAGTTTTATACTTCCAGAAAAGTTTTCATATCGTTGTTCCTTTTTTTTATTATTCGTTCCATTACCAGAACAGAGTTTCTTTCCATTTCATTCCACTGCTGTCAGTGACTTAAAGCATTGTTCTTTCCCACTTTTTCTTTAAAAATACAAAAGTTCGTATTAGTTTTTCAGTATTTTACCAATAAACATGTTATTTGATTAAAGTTGTAATACAATTCTTCCATTTCAATGAGTTTTATACCTCCAAAAATGTAACCATATCGATGTTCCTTTTTGTTATTGCTTCCAATACCTGAACGGTGTTTCTTTCCATTTCATTCCACTGCTGTAACTAATAGACTCTACTCATTGAGCCTATCCCGGGGGAACCGTGGGATTTTTTGACAGATATGAAACCCCGAATTACACTGGCACCATCCACCATCCCAATGTTCCTTTAAAAATACAAAAATTCTTTTTTTCAGATAATTAACATATTATTTGATTAAAGTTGTAATACAATTCTTAAATTTCAATAAGTTTTATTCCTCCAAAAATGTTTCCATATCGATTCCATTTCGTTCCATTAGTTTCTTTTTATTTTTATTCCATTTTTGTCCCTGATTGAGTGAGTTCTTCCTTTCCTTCCCTTTGTTTACAAATTACAAATTTCAGTAATGTTTTGAGTAATAATCTTCGTATTAACTTTCTTATAATTGTTACATTTTAATCTTCTGTTTCTTTATTATAAGTAGATGTTTTTTTGACTGTTTCTCTTTAATTATTAAAGTTTCATGTTCTACCAATTTGTAAATCTAAAACCTTCAATAATACCTCTACAAAAGCATTTAAAGCAAACTTGTTAACGACTTCTAATTGAAATACATAATTTTTAATGGAATGTGCGAGTCGTTGAAGAATCTCATCGAAACCAAACTGGATTTCGAGTCTGCATCCATGTCCACGTTGGACAGCCCCTAAGCCCACATAAATACTGCCTTATGTACGAGCTGTATGTTCGCTTGGTTTCTGTGTAGAACCTTAGCAAGTGTCATAAAAAAGAAAAACACAGAGCACTGAAATTGCCCAAGCACTCTGCCCATATATGTGCGACTGACTGCCAGTCAAAATTAACATTTCAGTCACACAATGACCTTCACCTAGAAGCCATCAAAGCGTACCCAAGCGGCGGCCCAGCCCCAGCCCCAGCCCCAGACCGGGCTCGGTCGGAAACCAAAACCAAAAAACCAAAGCCAAAACCAACTTCAACTTGACGACCAAAAATACTCGTATATAAAGTAAAGCCAATCCAAAAACCAGACAAAGCCGGAGCAGATCCAGTGCTGCTCAGTCGGTCGCGTAATTTTGCTTTTGGACCTACTTGATTAGCACGCTCTGAGCCATGTTTAAACGTGGGCTGTTTAACCAAACGGCAGCCACTACACCAGGCCCGACCAGACCCCAACAGAATTCGTCTAAAGACCCCACTAAAGACTTTGAGGCAAAAAAGAAACGTGCGAGTACGTGCCGCTGATTAGTAAAACAAACAAATTAAATTGGTTTCTGTTTTTGCTGGAACTCTTCGGGTTAGCTCTCTTTGGGGCTAAGAGCTAGACAAAAGAGAGACCCCCTTGTAAAGAGTTCAAAGAGAATTATGACAGAAGTCAACAAAGAGAAACCCAAGTCAATGGGTTTTATTTTGGTATACGTTTTGTTCGGTTTCCAGAGCTGGAAACCATTCATGGAACACATGTGAAAATATTTAATTATTTGCTTACAATACAAGAATTTTCTTTCTTATTTTGGCACTTATAAAAAGGGTAGCAAACTTCGATGGGAAAGGGGATCTACAAGTTGTTCAAACAATTTCAATTTGGGTTCTGCACAGAGTTAAAAAAAAACATAGATACTACGTAGACGACCTCATATATTTGCTTGGGCAAAAGCAGCCTTGAAAATTCGCAGATCTAATGTTAATCAACAGTTTTAAGATTTCAATTTAGAATCAGCAAATCCGAAAACATCTTTTGTTCTTGCAAGAAGAATATGGACAAATAAAAAATATTTTGATAGCAACTTTCTTTTCAACAAAGGTTTTGGAAGCACTTTCATACTTGAATATTAGATATTTACCTTTAATGGAGGCATTTTTTAGTTACTGTAAAGCCTCTCCTACCATTTGCCTAAAATGTAACCCAGATCTGACAGATGGACGTTTTCTCCATCTTCAAAGACTTGTTCTCTTAGCCAATGCCCATTGTTAAAAGATTAACTCTTTTGACCATCAAGGTCCACTTGAGATTGCTTTGATCTCCAGCAAGTTGGGGCGGCTACTGGTCTTGGCTTGGCACCTGTTGCTCATTGAAATGAGAATTCAAATGAATATTTATATAAGAATTGTTGGCTACCATGGGACTGGTACTGGTACTGGTGCTGGTGCTGGTACTGCGACTGGGATTCGATTGCATTGTGATGAGGAGGCAAGCGGCTGGCGCATTCTTGGCTTTATGGCATGTGGCCTGGCCTGGCATGGCCCGAGAGGAGGCATTCGAGGAGGAGGGTCTGCCAGCAAATCAATATGCAGGTCGCGGCTTTGACTCAATTCTTATTTTGTGCCAGACGTCATTATAAACCGCAGCGGTTTTTGGGGCGGAGGGGAATTTAACTTGGGCTAAGCCCATTACTGGGCAACACCAGGCTGTCCCGCGGCCGATGCTATGGCTGCATTGTTCTCCATGGCGTTCTTAACGAGCGCAGCATGCAAAACAAGGCCCAAGACGCCATTTGGCCAACAGAGAGAATCGCAGAATCGCGTTTTTTATGGTCGATGCGCTCTGTGCATGATAATCGGGCTGCTTGGACACCCAATCCCCAACGGGGTGACTCTGTCTCTGGGGGTTCTGGTGTGCCGGTACTGCTCCCTGTTACTGGATGATTGTGCGCACGCGTTCATAATCAAAGAGTCTGGACCCCCCCCCGTCCCCTGTCCGCCCTCCAACTGGCATTTTATGATGGATGGAGCGTTGGCAAGTGATTCGCCTTGACGTTGATGCCCCATCAAGGAAAATTATTGCGTGCGCGCAATTAAAACTAAAATAAAATTGCAAAAATATGAATCCAAAAATATGCATGAGTACTTACTTATATCTGGGGACAATGCTTGAATCCCTTTCAGCTGGTTGAGTCATGTGTCAAAGCTCCAAACTGATTTATACTTCCATGCCGCTGTTTGTCACTTCTCAAATGGGGGATCCGAAAGGTAAAAGTCTACAATAGGACGTTGGACATTGACATGTAATGACTGCATCTTACAAGAGGCGATGCACCGTCAAGTGGCAAGAGGAGAAGGCCCTCCCTCCCGCCCAACCGACCGAGGGGCGCTGCCGCATGACGTCTTCCTAATACCCTGTTGGCCTAACCCATCTATTCTGTATTCTGTTGTAGAGCAACAATTTTCCATCAATTGAAGTGAACTTTTTCCCGGCAAACACTTTCCCTTCTACTCGTACCTTTCCCTTTCCCTTGCCAATTCAATTATAGTTGAATTAAAGGCTTTCAAAGATATTCAAGTGTTTAAATTGGCTTTTGTGCTTAAATATCGTTTTATTTAACCATTTCGATTGAGTGATTTAAACCCACCATGTTTTGTTTCAAACATTAAAGCCCACATGGTTGAATCGGATTTTATGTTGCAATTTTTACATTCATCAACTGCTGAAACAATTTTTTTTTTGTATCTTGTATCTGCCTTTTGCCGGATAGTCGAGCAATCAAGCGTTAACTTTTCAGGTCGTATTTTTTATTATTTTTTGTGAATTATTTATGTGTGTATGTGTGTGTGTCTGTGCATGAGTCATGTATTGAAAAAATGTTTCTTTTATTTTGAGAGCGGAAGCGGGTGTCGTTCCGCGAAGAACCCCCCGGACTCTGGCGCTTAACAGCGACATTGTTGACATATCTGGACACTTGGATCGTATCGTCTCGCATCGCGATATTGTTGGCAGTTCCATTCCATTCCGTGTTGGGCCTTTCTGCCTGTGAATTGGTGTTTATTTGCCGGATTCCCTTTTGAATTTATGGCCAGGCTCCCAGAGAGCATCGTTAGGGGCTGGCTGACTGACAAACAAGCCTGAAATGCTGTCAGCGATATGGGCAAAGCTTGTCGGGCATCCCATACATACATATGTATGTGAAATGAAAGTTCCATTCCGCCAAAGTGTCAAACATAATTTATTTAGAGAATTATATTAGTTTTGGTTCGAGGGCGTGGTGTTCTAGCAAAGGTGGAACGACACGTGGAAGCTGAATAATGCATGGTTTTAATGGGTATTCCTATTATTCCTATAAACTCCTGTTACACCTAGAGAGATGGTAGATAGGCAGCTCTTATAAGGGATAATCTTTCTTTGAGTACATGCCGACTTGAATAAATGAAAACCACCCTTAACTGCTAAGCCCAGCTGGGAGAGAGAAGGAAAGCAAGCGAGAGGGTACAGTCAGCACCGCCTGAGAACTTATCGATATAACGATAAATATCGCAACAATTATTATAGTATATAGAAGACTTTAAGATCTAGTCGTCAATGAAGTCGGCCTATTTACCTATCCTATACTTCCTTCTAGCAGCTATTTACGAATTTAATACACTTTTTAAGCACTTTACATCTTTTCGCCTGTTTCTGCATCTACCAAAACCTTCTTACACTTGACATTCGGGTCCAGCAACATCCTCCAAAGTTCGTACTGTTCCTGGGGCTCGATCATGTCGATGCTGATCGTATTGCGGATGCTGCACGGAAATAAAGTGATGCGGATGTTGCGAAAGCTGTCTGCCTGCACTCTACTAATATTCAGGCTCTCGGCCACAACGCCCGTGATGAAGACTTCCTCCCGTTCCATATAAAACGTATTGAGCGATTGCACGTACAACTCATGGACAATGTCTCCAGTGAGAAGGTAGGCTCCTCCTATGGCATACGATAGGAACTCGTCGTGGGGCGTCATCTGTTCAACCAAGCGACCATAGATCGTACGATTATCCTTGTGCCCGTCCATGAAGTCGAGTAGTTTGGGAACATTGATGAACATGTCGTCCTCGGTCTTAAGGATGTACTTCACACGGGGACAGTGCGTATCTACCCATTCAAGCATCGAGATCGTCTTCAGAGTGAGATTGATGTGAGAGTCTATGAAGTGGCCACGTATCATATCGCCATAAAGATAGTTCTCCTGGTTGAGGGCCTCGTTCAGCTTCGCATTTGTGGTGCTTCCGAGGACAAAGGCCATGCCGACATCTCGCCTGCTTCCGTAGTGCATCCAGGTGTTTCTGATGGCCATTCTCGCCATCAAATGGGACTCTGCCGAGGTGATCAGAATGAGCAGCTTCGGATACGACCCCCAGTGTTTGCATATCTGATGCTTATCAATTCCTTCGTTGAGATGGCCGGACTCATAGAGTTTTGCTGTAAGTACTGGATGGTCACGGAATGGGGAGGTACCCCTTGATGTTTGTAAGCTGCTCCTGGCACTCAATGTGCTCTCAATGGTTACGGGTTTGTGGGACTTTTTTCGTTTGCGTGGCCTCTTCTTGGATTTGGTTTGGTATTCATTAAGTTTTCTCCGCAATATTTCTATGATATCCGAGCCAACCGAAACGGCCTGAAATGCTCTCAGCTCAGGTTTGATTCTTGTTTCTTGGGGAAAAGATTAGGCAGATGATTTGGTATTGGTCCAAGCATATCAAAGGGTTGGTTTAATAGTTTAGTATAAATCGTCACGACTTGACTCTTTTCTTTGAATTCTACAGAAATGGCTGTGATGATGACTTACCAGTGAGTTGACGTTTTCCAATGTATCTGACAGGATTGTGGCTGCTGCTGTTGAGTTTTCCTGTTAGCGAAAGATTAAGGGCCATCGGAGAGCCTCCCATGGAATGCATATGTTTCTGCGGCCTGATCTTTGCCGTCGGAAACGAGGCGTACATAATGGTAGTGAGAATAACAGCACTTAAGACCACAAACAACTTCAATATTTTGCTGTTTAGATCATACATGTCACAACGGGTTCATATGTGAAGTTTCACTGGTTTCCAACCAGTTGGAACGTTTCCGTCAAGGCACACTTTGCTCTGCACTAAGATACCCGGAACTCAGTTTATAGCTGTTTATATCTTTATGAAAACAGTACTATATCTTTTTAAAGTCAGCGGTTGCTGGTTAAAGTATCTTGAGATGGTTGGATGGTAGGAGGGAGGGACACACAGGAGTCGGATTTGCATGAATATAACCCGGTCATGAAAACCCTTATTTTGCTCCTAAGACTCCTAGGAAGAGTCATTTCTTCCTGCTAAAATTTCTGCCGTAAAGGTTTTGTAGTAGTTAAGATCTATATTTATGATTCTAGATTCACGGTTTCCTGTATATTATAAATTGTGGACGACACAAGACGTTAGAGGCTATTGATGCTGATCAAGAATATATGTACTTTATACCCTCGAAAGCACTTGTTTCATGTTACAGATATTTATACGAATTTCATATATCCCTATAATTTTACAAAATTTATGTGGAATAGTCTGGGATAACCATAGTCTTTAATAAAATATTATTTATGTGTGTTAAAGCATACGAATATAAATATAAAAAAAAAATGTAAGACGAAAAAGGCTCGAAAATGATTTGAAATGCGACTCGAAAGTTATTTATTTATTTATTTAATTAACAATTATCTGCTAAAAATGGTACTTGGTTAAAAGTTAAAAGTTTGTTAAATTTAGGTGATTATAAATATAACATGCTATTAGCTTAAGGGATAGTTCAGGGGATAAGGTATCACAGAGGGAGTTATAGTTCATGTTGGAAATCTTATTCGGAACTTATCAAAAAAGTAGCTTATAAGCGGGTCGTAACCTTTGACGACTTTATTTGTTACTCCCTACAATCCGTAGAATATCCAGTAATTTTTAACTGATTGTTTGATTTATAGATATTCAGCTTTCTTTTGTTTTTACCGATGCTACAGTATTGTTTCTATTTCTATTATTCAAGTCTAAAGTGATTGAGATGCCAGAGAACCCTTTTTCCCAGAAATCAATTCCATAATAAAATCCCCCCAAAACAACAATATCGACACACTTAAACACATATCTACAAGCAATCAAATTATAGAGAAGCATTTTGAGACAAGTCTGGGGCACTTTGTGTAGTCAATATTTCATGTATTATTATCGATTATACGTATACCCGCAAGTGCACACGGACAAAGGCAGTGGCACAATCGTAACATATTCTGGCCCGGCCTGGCCACTAAAGATGAATATCTGACAAAACATATTGCGGCAGTAACAATATTTTGGTTTTTCAGGCCAAACTTCACGGAATCACCGACTGGCTGACTGCCTGACTGACAGACTGACTGACTGACTGACATCAAAAGGCTGGATGGAGAATATATGTACTCGTACATGGAGGCTGTTTATCGGACAGACATCTGAGAGCAGGCCTTAGTTTCGCCAGAGGCCCGCGGGGCAAGCACGCGTTCTCCAAATATTTATGAGCCGCAAAACACAGGAAGGTACGGGATGGTATGGTATGGTATGGAATGGATTGCGGGGGGGGGCGGAGCGGGAGTCTTTTTGGGAAGTGATTTACCGACTGAGCTTCAAGTAGCCGAAGCAGCTGTCAATCAGCCTGCAATCAGCCTCCACTTTGAGCCTATAAAAACGTCTGCAGTTTAGCGGTAAAGCAAAATCAAAAAAGTAAAAGTGGCTTACGGTACTCGTTGATACTCGGTATCCAACAACAAGAATTTCATCCATACAATATCATCATCAGGCCACAGCAGCCCCAGTGCCGCACCCAATATACGAGTACAATACCCAAAAAAAAAAAAATCTGAAATCTGAAATGGAGACGCGTCCGACTTCAGGATTGAGTGTACAAAGACAATTAGTGACCTCAAAAACGTTTTGCAGCTAAAGATTTTTGTTGTATTTTTATGAGTGATATTGCGTACCAGCCCAAAAAAAAAATTGCTGTCTGCTGCATTTAGTTAATGAGATCTTAAACATTGGCGGATTGGGCTGGATTTTCACTTCAACAGGCTTCAAAACGTGATCGGCCGCAGCCTCAAAATGCCATTTTATACCCTTTATTCATAGGGCTCCGAGGTATATAATATATAGATTTATGCAACAGGGAAAAGGGTGTTATTCTATGTAAAAAGCTGTTATATCCAAGGCATACATTTTTCTTAGCAATATCCTATAACCATTGTCGACGCATCTATAAGAAATGAGCACTATAGAAGGTTCCCATGCAGGTTGAAATTTTTTTAAAGCTCTTAAAAAAAGAGCTAGTCTTCACAAAAGTCAAGACTCTGATCTCAAAAAATTATTCCCCTTTAAAATATAAATATTTCAGATAATCAGTCTTCACAAAAGTCAAGACTCTGATCTCAAAAAATTATTCCCCTTTAAAATATAAATATTTCAGATAATCAAAAACATTTGTAGGCCATTTATATATTTCCCTTTCAAGCCAAGAACCCAAAAATCTGTGAACAGGGTATTCCACAGTCCAAATAATCGATTGTTAGGATTCATACTTATTTTTAGGTGTGGTTTTTTGGCTCCTTTCTGGGTTCCCCGAAGAATGGTCATCGAATTTGTGTATTGGTCACGCTGACAATTTCTACCTGGCCGCAAAATATTTGTATAATTTTTTATTTTGCAGACCTTCAGCGAGGCCTAACGCAAATAAAATCTCCAAACAAATTGATGTCTTTTTTTTAGGGGGTTTCTGTTTCTTTTTTTTTGTCGTTTTTTGAGTAACACGAAACGAAACTGTCAATTGATGTCTTCGGCGCCGGACGAGGCGGCTTTTGGTATTTCCTTGGAATTATCTTAATGTGAAATCTTGAACTATGTTTGGGGCATGGTCACAAGGGCCAGACTCGGACCCGGACCAATCCAATCCAATATATACCTAAGACAATTTTTAATGGATTTCGGTCTTGACATGACATGTCCGAAATGTCTTAAGGCGCATTTAATTGCAAAGTTTTGTAACATCTCCAGAGGGTGAGCCAGCCAGCCAGCCAGCACACCCATACGTGTCCAATCTATAACTAAATATCTGACATTTTCCACCACAAAAACTTAAAGCCACTTTGGGGTTCTTATCTTTCCTTGAACTCCCCTATTATGCGAGAGGTAAAACCCTTTTGGTATCTCTCTGCGATTACACATAATTTTCATGTTAATGGCGGTTCGCAAATGCCAAGGTACGATAACAAACAACAAAAAGGAATGAATAAAATGAAACGAAGAGAAAAGAAAAGAAAATAGGAACGAAACGGAACATATGCGGAGTGACGTGTGCAGCAAAGCGGAAATCTAACCGACATACCAAACCGAAAAGCACACATAGAAGTGGAACCTAATGGAACATTGTGCCAACTGGGTCTCTGCGACTTTTAAATACTCTGCAAAATATATATTTTGATACAAAAAATACAGTAGTAGACTTTTTACAGGAAAGGTGTTCCTCTCAATGGTTTCATTTGTACCACAGACATGTCTCTGGCCCAATTCCCTTATTTTATATACTTATGTGTGGCTACATCGTATACATTTTATGTTTCCCCTCGTTTTATTAGTTTACACACATCGGGGATAAGGAAGCAATACATCGCAATCTCCGTGTCTCCATTCCAGCCACAACAAAGTTGAAAAGCTTTAAAACCGTGCCAGTTTATATAGCCGGACTAAGACTCATGACATAACCCATAATATCCCTGCACGAGACTATAGAAAAGGGAAGAGCAAATGAAATGGCCGACGGCCCAGTGTCTGGCAACGAGTTTTGGGACGACTCAGGTGTGTGTTTGTGGTGCGGCGGCCTACACAGACCAAAAGGACTGACATTTGTTTTTTTTTTCCTCATCGGTACATACATATATATTTTTACAACGCTCGGAAACGGATGCGGATACGGATGCGGATGTCTACCATAAACGAGCTCATTAGTAGGCACAATGTGCCGTGGCTAATGTGCTTCAGAGCACATTCCACACCGGCATTCCATGGCGATGGACTACTTAAAGTTTAACTTTTATTTTTGTTGGCCACAAGGAAATTGGGCAAGCGCGCGGCATTAAAGCCAACTTTACAGCAGTTTTAAAGTCGTAAACACCCAATGAAATTTTAATGATGACGGTACAGGTTGCGGCCACGCCCCCCAAGCACATAAAATAATAAAAATGCAGAAACAGACATCACGATTCTCGAAGCCCGTTTAAAGGTGAAGCGAAACGGGCAAGAAAGGAAGTCAAAAGACTTTTTTGGATACCCTTGATATAGGAATAAGCATATCATACCCACTCGACCACAGAATCAGAGACCACGAATCTCGTATCCTGTTTAAAGTTGAAAAATCCTCTGTATATTGATTTTCCTTGTGGTTCTTTTCTTTTGATTTTGGACAGTTTAATGCTCCATTGAATGTTCCTGTCCGTAGGAAATGTAGTTGCCCCCCACGGGATGTCCATGTTTATGCCTCACTGGCTCTCTCTCTCTCTCTCTCTCTGTCGGCCTGTGTGCCTGTGGAGGATGCACATGAGCATCCTTTGCCTACTTGTACACACGATTGGCAACTTTGTTTGGCAATAGTGTGTCTCCTGCTCCTGTCTGCCTCTTTTCCAGCAGGGATTGCCACTTTTCTCTATTTCTCTCTCGGCTGATGCTTGAAATGTCAATTGCGCTTATTAAGGGAAAGTTCACTGCGCCCTAAGTGAGATTGGGTTTTAGAGATGGAACGTGATTGCATGGGTAAAGAATCTGTGATTGTCTTTAAAGTAGAGGATATCTTTGGGATCTCTATTACTTTCGATAGTTTCGATACTCACGCAACCATCGCTAATTAACAAGGATAGATAGTGGAGTGGCTGGCGAACTGGAGCTGTCGCCAAGTGGAAACAAAACTGAAAAACATGCCGCCACTTGGCAGAGGTGTTTTCCAAAGTTCTTCAAGAGTGTTGCTGTGTGTGTGGTTTTCGCCTAAGCTCCTTTCGATAGGCCAAATGCTGACACTGCAGCCAAGATGTTTGCTTGTCTACTAATGACAGCATATACTCGTACTCGCACTCGCACTCGCACAGCAGACTTGCCTTGTTTGTCGTCGCAGAGTTAATTCCTTCTGGGCAAAAGCATTTAGGCAATCAAATTAGTCTAAGCCCAAGGCTTAAAGCCAACTAATAGACATGGACAAAAGCACAGACGCAGACAGAGAAACCGGAGACAGCTGGGCTAAAAGTCGCATCAATTTGGACCAGCTCCTTGGGGCTCTCCCCTCTCCCCCCTCTCTATCTCTCTATCTCAGAATGAGTTATCTGCTCGAGCAACTGGCTACTGGGGGGGACTGCGTGATTGAGAGCTGGCAATCTAACTGGTAGCCAAGAAGTCAAGTAAATCAGGTAAAATATGTCGCACCATTTATTTGGTAAATGCAAATTACAGCAAAAGGTATTCCTGCAGTTTAATTAAAAAGTTAGCCTGCTCGGAGAAGTAAATTTAATTATGAATCCCAGCCGTAAAGTTGAAAAGGTAAATGCAGAATTATGAATCCTACAGCTTGAGAGGTAATTACAGCGGAGAAAACTTTGAATCTAAATATGGAATTCTTTAAACTTTAAAACGAAAGCAAACTTCAAGCCGTACTGTGTTTCAAATAGAGTTTGGGAATACAGTTTGAATTTTAAATGCAGCTAATGGCAATAGAAAGGCAAACCAGTGATTGTCAAACTGTGCCTAGCAATCATTGCGGCAGGTCAGTTACGATCTTGCGGTAAATCAAGCACACGCTACTAAGTACATAAATGGGAAAGAGTCAGAAAGAGAGTCAGAGCGAACAGCTTTGCATCTTCCCTTTTGCGCTTTGTTCTTAAGAGAGCGCCAACTTGCTGTTCCTATGCGCGGCATGCGAGAAGGGCATGGGATAGACAGCACAGCCTCTCTTAAGCGAAGAGACGTGAGGCTTTTTTTTCCTTTTGGCGATAAAACAAAAACTCAAACTACAAAAACTTTCTTTGTATAACTTACAGCATTCCTTTGATTTGTTTGTGTACTTTCCAGGGGCTGCGACAACGTTTATATAAAATCATTTCATCATTTAACAAATTATTTAACAACGAAAAAAAAACGCACGCTCTCTTTTACGGTTCAGCTGTTGTCCACTGTCGCCATGTCACACATTTCCCCGATTTTTCTTCCGAACAAAACAAAAACAAAAAAATGTACTAAACTAATAACACTCCTAATAAACTGTAAACTATCGGGTTACGCACTGGGGACTCCTCGGCACCTCGCAAAACAAAATTCAATTTTATCACGAACTTCCGCAACATTTCCACATATCTATGTTCCGCGACATGTATATGTAAGTGACTCACGCCCGCGCCCGACTGATGAGCTGATCTTCTCCCCCTCCCGCACTGTGCTGTTCGGCCTAAGCCATGGGAATTTTGTTCTTTTTGCGGTAGTTGGGCGAGGAGCATAAATCCCTCGTGGCGAGCAGATGTCCTAGTAACAGGGAAATTTCTTGTTGCGAGCTTTCGTAGAAGGGATATTGCCGACGCTGAGCAACTTATGAATTCAAATTGGCACTTTAAACTTTTAATTTATTTCGTTCAACAAATTTTGTTGCTGCATTCTGCTGTTATTTTTTCTTTTACTTGCTTGGACTGGCTTAGCATAACCTTCACCAATACTTTTACTTGTAAAAGATCGAGGCTCGATTTCAACAGCCCGAAAACCCCAGTAGAGCGTCAAGATCGACAGTCCTCTATATTCAAACAAAAAAAGATGCTCTCCTTCCTTCTCCTTGGACTTGAATTGAGGCGGCAAGTTGAGTAACGTATAAGGGAGAAGAATATCCGTTCTTGGTACTTTACCATAATCTTCCCTTTGTGGATCCCAGTATTTAAACCTATTTTTTTACGCTACAACTTCAAACCACTTCAGATTATTAATGTTCATTATTATATTTACGAATTTGCGACGGAATCAAATCAACCAGATATGGAATTGGTTAGACCAGAAGTGATTCACTTATATGACGGTAATTTTCCCAACTTAAATTTTAATCAAACAGAATTTCAATTTTCAAATAAATGCAATTATGTTTCTATGCATTTTAATTGCTGGAGATAAATATAAAACACTTTTAAACCGATTATTTGCATACAATTTTGCGCATTTTGCGCTCCAAAATTGTCACTTTCAATCGGCTGCATCTACGATTCAAAAATTTGTTTGTTTCTGTATGCAAATATGTTTTTTGATAAATGTGTTTGCTCCTTTTGTGATTTGCATTGCATAAATATGCAAAAATCTATTGCAGGTTTTATTTCAGCAAAATGTTGTTTGGCATCTCTTAAAGCAAACGGTTTTTATAGCATTTTGTGGTATTTAATAATACGAATTTTATATACGGGTTCAGTGACCGATTGACTTTGTTTTCTGTGTTTAAATAAGTTTTGTGGTTCGGCGGCGGTTAAATGTCAAAGTGGAAGTTTCGAATAGATGCAAAGCAAACACATTTTGTAGAGTAAACTTTGCCCGTGCCTCCCTCTCGTCTGCCGTTTGGAGCGTTCCACATGGCGGATGATTAATCAGCAAGCACAAGCGACTAATGCACTTAGCGAACAGGGCTATGACATTAAAACTTAAGTGTTGCCCGCACTTAATTTAAAATGCATGTTAAAATGCCATTAAGTTCAAGCAGGAAGTGCCAATACCAGGGCTACCACTGTTCTTGATGATGTACTGACCTGGTCCCGGGGGCCACTCGTCCGGGGGCATTCCGGGGGCATTCCGGGCACGCGTTTGTTGAACTCTGGCGATGGCGGATAGGGGACATTGGGACAAAGGCAATCGCAGGAGTGGCATCATCACCATATCATACGCATGCAGCCAAGCGTTGCATATAAATTGCCAAAAATTATGAAAATTTGATGCCTTAACAGGTAGCACTAATTATAGGGTTCACAGCTCATCTGACTAATTACGAAATGGTTGTTTCTTTTTTTTTTTTTTTGTATTTCTCGGTTTTTATACGCTTTCCAGGGGGACCGTCGGTGCACCTTTTTATTCCATTCTCTAAGCTTGGAAGATATGAAAATATTCGGTCTCTTTCGGTACCGCTCTTTACCAATAATCATCCAAACCATATGTGTATTTTATATGCCTCTAATTTATCCACAAAAATCAACAAAAAATCTATTTGAAATGCTCGGAACTATTTCTAAGAAGTGGAACTCTCTGCCATCCTATACTAACACTCTCTAATGCTTCGAAAACTTCTTGTTAATTCAGACCGATGGAGAAGGGAGTTTTAGGTTAAGAACATGAAATAACGGGTTCTTCTTTTGAAAATCAAATAAATACTGCCTTTCAATCGATTTCTAATGTGGTATGGCCATTGGATTTCAAGGGTATTTCAAATTCGTTTAGCTTTTGGGGTCCTCTTTCCATATGGCATTGCATTTGTCAGCCAGATGGGCTTTGTTCTTGAACCCACCGCATTACACCGGACACAGCACTCCACCCAGCGGACACATCTGTCCCCGCCGCCGGACGTCGTGCACCACAGAACAGAACCCATAAACAACTCAATATATATACGTCCAAACAATTAAAAAAACATCTTTAAATACAGAACAACAGCAGCGGCTCGGCTTGAACTGTCTGCGATTTGTACGATAAAAACGAGAGCAAAGGCAGGCAGTGAAATTCGATTCAAGTTCTCAGATAAGACAGGAGTGCACGTACGAAAATAACCTGTCGACGGCCTGTCAATGTAAATGAAATATTTCATAAATATAACTCACAAGTGGGCCCTGGAACAGCTGTTGGGGTTAGGTGAAATCAGAAATATGTTGGCACTTCAGGCTCCAGGCTTCTGGAATTGCTATGAATATTGATCATTGCAGAAGAGAATCTCTGTGTGGGCTGCCTTGTTGGGGCTCTGAATCTCGATTTTTACCCATATAGACGTCATGATCGACACGAGAAACCCCTTGGAACATCTTCAGCTTGTGCTCGTGAACCAGGAGGAGCTATACGTCCCTTAGATCCAGGTGAGATGTGCCTCTAGAGCTGGTCCTTGGCGCGGGGCCGCGGTGCAACATGCCATCCTTTTTTAATCCTTTATTATTTATCTCCTCTAAAGCCGAAACTTTTCTCCTCCACCTCGATCGTAGCTCCATCATGATCTTCAATGCGGCTGCAGCCTTGACCTGGTTCTTGGCGAGGGGCGACAATAAAAGCAACAACAGCCGCAAATTGCAGAGACGTCTTTGGCCAGGGGCTGCATGCAACACGCAGCCACAGGCAGCAGCAGGGGCAGCAACCACCTCCCGTCCGAGCAGCACCGTAAGACCTAACCGGTTTGCCAGTTTTTCCCACTGCTCAATTATGTGCTCTTTTGTGTACCCTATGCAGAGCGTATGATGCTTGCAACGCAGAGTCCTCCATGGTCCCTCATGACGGTCATCTGAGTGCCACACGAGTTCCAGAGAAACGGCAAGGCAGCGAATACGGGGATCCTCTACTGTAACGTTCTATACGGCCCTTAGATAAATTATATTTTTATATCAAAGTAAAAGAACGATTCATCTGCAAGGGTATCAAATGCGTCGGTCCTTGTGGCCGTCGCTTAACTCGGGTGCCGCCTGTGGCGCTCACGCAATACGCAACAGCAGTTTGTGGGCGTGGAGTTGCACGTTAACTTAAATAGGTTTTTTTTTTTCTACCAGCTCCCTCCCGGCTTTCCCCTCTGTTCTGCTTGGCTTTTGACGGTCAACAGGTTGGTGCGTGTCTGCTGTGTGTGGGCGTGGCTGTAAGTAAATAAATCGAACAGGTCCACCGGTCCCCTATTCAGCAGAAGTTCCGAAAGGAAGTCGGCGATGGGTATGGGGTCGGAGGTAACCCAGTGTAGCGTTTTGTTGCAGAAAAAAAAAACCTGAAGAAGGCATCTTTGATGTTAGATCTTTCGATTTATGTTTGGGAAAACCACGAACGGAATTAGGGCTTTGGCCTCCGTGCATCTAGCGCGAGGATCAAATAAAACAAATATTATATAACATGACAATTTCGTTTGTCCACCGTACAATGAGCGGCTCATTAGTCCAGCTTGGCCAGCTGCATGACAATAATGCTTCTGCTATCCGAGCGTCTTAGCTTGCTAGACATCTCGAGGCGGACACTGAACGCCGAGTTGGGTGGCATGTGTATGGGATCCGTCAGATCGAGCTCTCCGGCAATGGCCTTCTGCAGCAGAAGAATGCAGTTTTTCGGGGCTAGGACAGTGAACATCAAGATCAAGCGAAGGTTTCGTCTGCAGTTCAAATTCAGGCCGTACTGAAGGGTACGTCCGTGGATGGTTTTGTTGCACCTGCGGCAACGGCAACGGCAGTCGGTGAAGGCGCAAAATTTTAGCATTTGAGTGACTTACACAAAATTTATACCCAGCTGGTCATGCAGAAGCATCTCCGTAATGAGTCCCACGATATGGATGTGCTGATTGAGGCCCAGAAGGCTGGGTTTCCCCCGAAGCTGGTCCAGTACGCCAAGAAATATGCCATCTACCTCGACCTTTAGCTGCCAGTGCAGGAGTTTCATGTCAGAACTGAGGATCCTGAAGAAACGAAATTGCTGGAAAAAAGATGAAATTCGAGAGAGACCTTTTTGAATTGATCCACAGATCTACCCACTCTCAGGAGATTGAGTAGAGTCATCGTTAGAAGGAGGCGGCGATGCTGTACTTGATTCCCGGCAGCTGCTGGTGCACTGCCTTCCCTGAGGCTGACCAAGGGCCGCTCCAGACTGAGCAGAAACATGCAAAGGAATCGATTCAAGTGAACGTTCATGGTGCTCATATTAGTGGATGCAGATATCCGGGCATGGAGGGCCGCCAAGTTATATCCAAAATGTGGCCCATAGCCGCACCGGATGAAGTAATCTGTGGCCTCGGACAGCACCTGTCGAAGATTGAACCATCTCAAAGTTTGTACTCTCTTAACACCCACTAACCTTCAAGACGGCCCTAACGACGGGCTCTCGAAAGCCCTCCTGGGGCTGCTGCCGATGGGAATGCACGAAGCACCGGTGGCAGTTCATTATGTAGTCGGTGTACACGTCCCTCAGACTCTCCGATGTCCTTATAAGGTTGTGAGGCAGGGCAACCTTGGAGACGATGCGCTCCAGCAGCTCGCGCGGCAGGCTCATCAGCTGACGAGGAGCTTCCTCCAGCTGAACACGGGAACGTTTGGCATTTGGCTCCAAGGAGTTGGATCCATGCCCACGCTTCCGATTCGAAGCGGACATTTTTGTATGTGTGTGGAACTTGTGCGTCAGTTTAAACAGTAATTTTAATATTCAATGTGAGCGTTTCGAGGCTCTGATAGCCTACATGTAGCCTTCTGAGCTCAGATTTCGATTAAGATCGGCAAAATGGAGAAGAACCAAACAGCCCGAGAGGGAGCTCGTCGATGGAGAGGAGCTGCTGCTCTGGCTTTGAACCCGGAAGATGTCCCAGAACGAATGGCGCTGCCACATGAAGGGGCAGATTGATCCAGCAACGTCTCCTGCTGATCGCTTTGAAATATTAGTAGGAACCAGATGTTCTTTGTGTACCAACTGGGTACACTAGGGTTTCTCTTGAGCCACTGGCAGAGCTCTGGGAGACATGCGGCCCTACTTCATGGACTCTCCGATTACGATCCAGACAATGCCGGGTTTGAAAGCCGAAAGGAAAGAGAAGAACCTCAGTCTGGAAGGGGATATCGGAAGAAGCTCTATTAAAAAATCAATCAGCTTATGCAACAAAAAAGGAGGGTCCCACTAAAAAGGCAACTACCTAAACTTACCATAGAGTAATGCTCCTATCAACCTCCAATTCCCACCAGTTGGAGTGAAAGTTCCAAAGGTTAAGGCAGCGACTTGATGGCACAGAAATCCATAGACTACGTAAGTGTGGATGCTGATCAAGAATACTATATGTACTTATGGGGTTGCAAAAATCTAATAAAAATAATAATATCCTCCATGAGCGTATTCAAACGAACTAATAGAAATTACAGAGTCTTACGTTGCCTGTGGGCTGTGGATGTTCGTTTCTGATTTTTTCGCTGGAAACCCCTTTGTTTAATTAACTGCCTAAGCTTTACTGCTAGCCGCCGGCTGTTGCTGCGGTGGCTTGCAACCAACACCACAGCCCCAGCCCCAGCCTCAGCCCCAGCCCCAGCCCCTACTTTGGGGGCGCAACATGTTGGTGTCGGGGTGTTGTAGGGTTGGTTTTTGTATGGCGCCTGCGGCCGCTTTGAAAAGGCTTTTGGGGTTTGAATTTTGCTCTCTTTTCGCTTTTAATGGTCGTCCCCGGCCATGAAGGGGTCCTTCAATTAGAAATGTAACTGCACAGCAAGTGTGGCTTAAACGAGGCTCCCCCTTGGTATTCTCTTGTCTCCCTTATCGCTGGTTAATTTTTCCCTACAAAATGCAAATTAAATTTTAATTATGCGCCCTTTTTCTTTAAAATGATTATTATTGCTGCTCATTTGAAATGGAAATTCCTTTGAATATACTCGTATTGTACGTACATACACAAGTACTTTGCAAGAGCCGCAGTGTGCAATTGTTTTTCCAGTTTATATCAAGACCGAGTTGATCTTTTTTCTCATACCCTTAAAGAGGGTATTATGGATTTGAGTAGAGGTGGGGAGGTCGTCAGAGGACTGCCTAGATTAGGAAACCTTCTTTTTGTATATGTATGTTTATTTCTAGGAATTATAGTGTATACCAAATTGGATCATTCTATCATAAAGTTACCCTAGATTTGATGTACTATAAGCAAGGGTATCCAAAGCTCCCTTTTGTACCCTTCTTTTGTTAGTTTTGCGGTTGTTGCTGTCGTTTCTATTGGCATCGCCTCGTGCTTGTCACCGTTTTTCTTTTCTTCGCTTTTGCCCATTAATTTGCAGTACAAAGAGTCTACCGACCAACCGGTTTTGGAGAGCCTCACATCTAATACCAAGTTCAAGGTCAAGACCGCCACCGAGACCGAGACCGAGACCGAGACCGAGACCGACCGGTGCATCACAAAGGTGTGACTACCTCTACCTACCTACCGAACCGAACCAACCCAACAGCCAGCAAGCTCTGTACCCACCTGAGATTTGCCATCAGTTGTGGTTGCGAGGGTGGGGACTCAGACTCAGACTCAGTCTCGGTCTCGGACTCGGACTCTCCATGGCGCATTCTCATTCCTCAATCATTCAAATCTTGTTTAATTACACAGTCTCAGGTAGTATACTGACTAAACAGTTTTTCTGTTTCTACTTTTTTATGTTTAGCCAATGCAATTGAAAGATTTTTCCCACGAATTGCGAATTTTCATTAACCCATTGGCTTTGAAACGTCAAGTGCTTGGCCACGAGAAGCAAACCGAAACGGCACGTTTTCCAATTGAACAGCCCCCAAGAATACTCTCCAGCTTGAAGTGTGCTCGATAGTACTCGTATTAATATTTATTCTATAGGTAATTTTGTATAATGGCAAAAAGGGAAATAAAAAGATTATCATATTTAAAAAAAAAATAATAATCAATTGGCGCTTTTTATACCCGATAATCTAAAAGAGTTACATCCAGAGGAAGCATTTCCGACCACTTGAAGAATATTGATTCTTCATTAGCATCAATAGCTGAGTCGATAAAGCCATGTTCGTCTTGTTTTACGCTTAGTTTTCAGAGACTAGAAGCGCTAGAGCAACCAGAATCATAGAGAACGACCATATCTAGGACATTGCCGAATCTGGATCAGATCGAAGGAAAACATTTATTACCAGGGGCTACGCAACGTCTCCAGCGGGCTTACTCATTTTCTGTCTCTCTCACACTCTTCGTCGTGCAATGTGTGCGCCCTCTGTCGGAGGGGAGCCAGACTGACTGAGCATCGAATATAAATGTAGTGTCGCGGCCGTAGCTGCTACTCACAACTTTCCCACTCGTTTGTGTATAGCCCTCTGCCACTTTAAGAATGTTGAGACCAGATTTAAGATCCTCAAGGGAATTGCCGGCAGTGTTGGCGAGAGCTTTAATTTAATTTAACTTAATTAAATAAACATGAATCACTAAAGATAAATATTTTGAGGAATTTTAAATAAAATTGGCATCTTTTAAATGTTCATGTGTCAGCCGTGATTGATAATATGTCTATAGATATTAGTTTCGCAAAGTTACCTTCAAGCTTTAGTTTCAATTTTCAATCAATAATTCAAAATTGTATGCACCTATCCCCTATTCACATAAATCCTTACCATCACAGGTTCCTTTACCCTATTTACCTATCATAAAAGCCTCCCATTACTCTTGGCACATTAAGTGAGGCCTACAGCTATGCAATCAGCCATAAATTGGTAATTTCAGCTGAGAAAATAGTCCAAATCTAATCCGCATATGCTGCCAGTTCGAATCTCTCAACGGGTTGCACACAAATCGAATTAACAGCCAACCAAATCGCTTCCGAGCTCAAACAGTGACACAGAGACCGTGCTGTGTGCGGGGTAGAGCCGAAGTGAGTTCAAATATTGATAAATGACCCGATCCGGCTGCACTACGGATATATACGTGTATACTATGCGAAGGAGTCAACTTTTTGAGTGGTGGCCACATGTGCAGTGTGTGATTTATGAACGCCAGCAAAGAGTTGAAGTTCATTATGAACCTTTTTGATAAATGTGATAGATGTCTAATTTGCATGGAGCGTGCGGCCAGGATAGCACTCAAATGTGTTCCGGTATCCAGCGAATCGAATCGGGGTCTCCGTCTGGCTGTCCCTGCCACTTTGTAATTATAAGGCCAGAGCTCCCGGTCCGCCCCAGAAACCCAGCCGTGATGCAGCGGAAGCACACCAAAAAAAAATATATATATATGGAATCCATGAAAGCAGACGAAGAAAAAACCCAACGACAGAGAGAGAAAATACTGTTTAAACGGATATCCTAAGTGTCTGTCCGGACTCCGGACGGGACGGGACGGGACGAGACTCCGCACTTTTGGCCTGACAGTCATTTCCGTTTGGAAGTTTTTCATTGCTTCCCATAGGGAGAGCAAGTCCGGGTTAGGTTAGCGGGGCCTGACGGAAACCTGTTGCCCAAAGACAGATTTATGCCATCGTAAAATATGCCATTTGAATCTGGAAATTTAATTTTAATGTCGCCAAAGCCATGGCAAAAGGGATACTGATGGGTGGGTGGTGTGGCTTGTGTTGGTTTAGGGCTAAGTGTAGACACCAAAACCTCATATGGATAGAAGAGATACCCCACAACCAGCTGGGGATGAGCACGTGAGAAAAGTTTCTTCCAGGGATTAAATTAGATTTAAATAATTTATAATATGATATAATACAATCAGTTGTGGAGATGAGAACAAAGTTATAAGGATTTATCTTAGGCATTTAGGTAATATAAGTAGAATTGCAAATTGCATATGATTGAATAATCTAATCAGTTATTTTATTATATTTTTAGAGGTATGTATATACAAATATTCTGTACAGCAAAAGATTAAAGGGTCTTTATAATCTATTCAGGCAGGCTCCATGGTTCTGTTCCCTCACATCGTACGAGTATCACGCTATCATCTCTCACACTGAATGACACACCGCAGCATCCAGTCAAGCCAACAGACCCGGCCGAAACCCACACAGCCCACATTCAAGCCAGACCCCGGACCCCGGACCCCGGATCCCGGACCCACCGTGAACACACGCGTCGGGGTCGGCCATTAGGCAAGAGAGTGGTGTGCTGCCATTTTCTCGTCTAACGGAAGTTGTCTGTGTTAATGGAATTACATGAATTTCAACTCTGAACCGCAGAGTAAAAGAGAGAATACCCTGGCAGGCGACATTTCCGTAAATGCATGGCCCATAAACTTTGGGGGGCGTAGGGCGGTTCGGATTGCGGCTAAAGCGGGTGAAAGTTTTTTGTACAAGTTGGAGCGACAGAGACAGGGAGTGAGAGAGAGACCGGAAATGATAATGGCTCGAACCGACGACCGACTTATCGCATTAAAGTCGCCTGCACCATAAACATAATCCACTTTCGGATTTCCGTGGCCAAAACCAAATCGAAACAAAAGCAAAACAAATGTATGTCGAATATTTTTGAGTTTTCCCCCATTTTCCATTCAATTTTATTTTAATGCAATTTCAACAAGCTCCATTCCCCTTCCATGCCTTTGAATGGGTTTTGGGGGCATGGTTGGCATATCGTATCGTATCCTGCATATGTCAAGCAGCTTTTATTCCGTCTCTTTGGAAGTTTTCCATTTCCATTTGATTGGGACCAAAAAGTGTTTTGCTTGGCTCAGTGCCAGGCAAAAGCAACAATTTGGCTGTTTGTTTTTTTAAATAGAGACCAGAATCTACGCTTCTTAAAGCATACTATGGTCACCGTCCTGGGTCTTGGCCTTGGGCCAATGTCTCATAAGGTAAGATGGAATCCTATAGAGGTAAGATCACAAGGTATAATCGTGGTGGAGAGCTGGTGATACTACCCAAAATAGAGATAAGAAATAACTTGTGTTTGACTTACCCACTAAATTTTTTGCTGCCGTTCGTTCTTTAAAAATTTTGACCGGATTAAGATGTTCCTTTTATTCGGATTCGGACCGTCGCGAAGTTTTATATATAATACTAATTGCAAAAAACACATTGAACTAGTTCAGCTTTATTTAAAGCGTCCTTAATCAACACTACTCAACTGGTGAAGCTGAAAAGCAAGGTTAAACTCGGCCCATTTTGTGTGCGATGATTCAGGGACCGCAGAATGCAGATACGAGTACATTTCTGCAAAAGGGCGTTCGACGCTGCCTATCCAAACGCATCGAATAATAGAATGGATCAATTATTCCGCACTCCCCTTCCAAAACAAAATCTTATGAAACACCCATTTTGTTTTTCGTATCAAAAGTATCGATAAAATCAAGTATGATACTCAAAATATTCCACCGAAAAAATATTTTGTTGAAAAGGACTGCTTTTTGTGTCAGTTGCACAATAACTTTCCTGGCACTGAGAACTTTAGCCGAGATCTTAAAAAAAAGAGTGAATTAAAATTAAAATGGGTGAGAGCAGTGTTAAGCGCGCTTAGAAAACTGCCAATTCATCAATTCTCCTTTATTTCCGTGCTGGCAGGTCATCAATATCCAGTTACAATACCGTCAGATGCTGAATTAAAAGTGCTGCCTGTAGCAGACCAGCCGGGTATCGAAACGGAGCCGGTGATTATCAAGTTTAGGAGGTCGATTGGTCACGGGGCCTTTGGGCGTGTGTATATCGGGACCGTAAACCATTCCCGCAAGGCGATGGCCATCAAGCAGACCTGTTTGGACACGTCCATCTGCTATCGCGAGCCGGAGATTATGAACCGGCTGCAGGGACACTGCAACATTCGGCACCTGCACATGCACACGGTTGTACCGTTGGGGGATCCGCCGCAAGAGTACATGCTGCTGGTCATGGACTACCTACCCATGACCCTGGCGCAGTTCATACGCCATTCGCTGCAACGTGGTAACGGCATTGACCTGGTCTACATTCGCATATTCTCCTACCAACTCTTCCGGGGACTGGCCTATCTGCACTCCATGGGGATCTGCCATCGCGACATCAAGCCCGAGAATCTGATGATCAACGACCGCACGATGCTGCTCCAACTGTCCGACTTTGGCAGTGCCAAGTGCCTGCGCGCGAATGAGCCAAGCATCACCTACATCTGTTCGCGTTTCTATCGCGCCCCAGAACTGTACGCCAATTGTCAGTACTACAACTGTTCCGTGGACATCTGGAGCGCGGGCTGTGTGCTGGCCGAACTGTTCAAGGGGGAAGCACTTTTTAGTAGCATCCACCACAACGAGGAGCAACTGCGTTGGATGGTTCAACTGCTGGGCACTGACGGCCTGCAGAGTGCCCCGGAGATTCGCCAGATGTGTGGGTTTAAGAATCGCACACTTCCCTTATCTAGACGTCGCACCTGGGATAAGATTCTAGGCAGGGCCGTGCCTCCAGATCTGGCCGAGGTGCTGAACCGCTGTCTGGTCTACGACCCCAGTGCCAGGATCTACCCCTTATATGCCTGTGCCCACGAAAGCTACGACGAGCTGCGCAGCATGGAGTTCCTGGACATGAAAATGCCGAACGGCAACGAACTGCCGCCACTGTTCAACTTTAGCAAGTACGAGCTGAAGATCCATTCAGAATTGTGGGTCCATCTGCTGCCCATGTGCCTGTACAATAAGTATAAGCCCAGCGAACCCAAAAAAACTATGGGGACTTTTACAAAATACTTTCCCGTACAAACAAAAGATGGTACCACTGTTTAAACCACTTGCTAAACCTTTACATACATATTTATACTGTTTGCTCATGACTTAAGCTTGTTGTTCCTTAAGGATCTTAACATCAATGTTAACTAAGAAACCATAGACAAAAAAATCGTAATCATGTGTATCAGTTGTAGAATTGATTTCAAACCAACAGAACGCCAATTTCGTTGTTATATTTAATTTTAAAACCCTAAAACCCATCTAGAACTCTGAGAAGACCGGGTAAAAAACCGAATAAATATAAATTTGAACGTAAATATAATAATATATGTAAAATATAGGCTTTGTACGCATATCCGTTGCACAATTGAATTCAAACCAGGGAAGACTTTTTCTCTGTTTGTGTGCCGACATCCACAAGAAGGGTTGGACTTTACCCGGTAAACATTATGGTTACCGGCCCATTAAATGTACAATTATTCATTTTACTACAAATTGTATACTATAGGGAAGAAAATGTATAAATCAAATTCAGTTGTCAAATGTCAAAGATTGGTAGCTTTTTCACCTCTTTTCACCAGTTTTCACCACCAAATACAGTATAATAGATGAATTGCACATGAGCCAAGACGGGGTAAGTGAAATATTTAACTATTATAAATTATAAATATTATAAATTTTAATAATTTCTTATAGCAGACACAACAATTGAAAAATGGGAAATGTTTGGCGATTGGGGCCCAAAGGGCAGATTGCCAATGGTAACGCCATCTGTACCATCTTGTGGTGGTAAGTAGAATTCTTTATGTATTATTATTTATTTATAATTTTTTTATTATAATTTTCAAAAATTATCCATTTCAGAAGCCTACAACGGTCGTCCTTATTAACGAAGCCTTGGAGAGGGTGCTAAGAGCAGCCAAAAGTAAATTTATGAATTAATATCTCTTGGCCGTAATATCCGATGGAAATAAAGCAAACAAATTGGCCCTGCGAAGTGCTTCTGCAGGAGGTTTCGCCTTACGTTAGGATTTCGACCATGTACATGGGATTATGTCAAGTAAGCTTGGAGCTCCCCCAGGCTACCGCCTGAACATAACCTAAGTTAACCCGCCGGACAATGTACGGCCAGCCTTCCTAAGGGAAATAAAAGAGATCAAATCTGTTATTCAAAAAAGATTTCAGATCCCGAATACGCAAGGCGGATTCAGAATGAAATTCGCAAATAATGACAGTTTGGAATCATCAGCTAATGTCCTCAAGAAATATTTGCCCAGGCTGGTGAAGAGCCTTAATAAAATTAATCCTGATCTGGTTGGTGTTGGTAAGCTAAATTTTATCCTAAATTATTCGAATTAAATTTATTGAAATACACATTCCCCACCAGGAGGAGGAGTCGGCACATTCCATGGACTTATTTTAGCCTTTAATATTATTACTATATAAAAAACAAAAATAAAACATATATAAAGGGTACTTCTGCCTAGTCAACCTTAGAACCTTCCAGCATGAAAGAGATCAAGTAGGCTTTGCCTGGATTTTTGGCATTTTGATTTTGATTTTAATTTTGAGTTTCACGAGCCAGAGATTTCCACAGTTGAGCTACAGATTTCGTAGGGTAAACATCGTGCTAAATCAAATCAAATTCAACTAAAAAAAATAAAAAATAAAAATTTTTTCGAAAAAAAAAAAATTGTGAAGAAAGTAGGTGGTGACTAAATTTGACAGTTCTGATGACTCACAATTTATATGTTTATGTAATCTCCATTTCCTTTAAGCAAATGGATTTACCATCAATGGTAGAAAGTACTGGCGGCCGTCTGATTGTGCGCAATCTATTCAGTAATACGTCCATGTATCACGTGCCTGTGGCAAATGCGGATGAGGCCGCGGATCCGGCTAACATGTCATTACTCGCACAGGAAGTCGCATGGTACCAGGAACAGCCGCCTAATGATGGCGGCCAATTGCCGCAACTGCCGCAGTGCAAGATACGCAGGAACTATAGCTGCAATCAGTGCGCATTCTTCACGCAGAATCCGCGCAATCATCTGTCGCACCTGCGCGACGTCCACGGCGAAAGGATCATCATAAACGAGTGCAAGCTGTGCCTCTATGCCTCGCGTCATTTCCAGAAACTGGTGCGTCACATGAAAATGGTGCATGGCTGCACCGATACGGATAAGGGCCTGCCCGGCGAAGACGGCCAGCCGGGTCGTGGCAAGCGCAATCTGAGTCGCGAGGCGCGCAAGCGTCGCCTCGAGGAGAGCATCGAAATGCCACGACCCTCTGGCGCTGTGCAAGGGGACGGCAACGCCATCACTCCCGGACTGGTGCACATCATGCAGAACGGTCCCTCGCTGGAGCAGCTAAAGTCTGAGCTGAAGCAGCAGGAGCAGGAGCTTCTGGTCAAGGTACAGGCCTACAATCGCCAGCAGGAGATGCAGGAGCTGCAGAAGATCGTAGCCAATGGTGATAATATTTTCTCGATGGCCTTTGAGTTTCAGCGCAAGATGATGCCACCCATGATGGAGCGCAATGAATCCGTCCTAACGGAGCTGAACAACAACAGCAGCTCCGACTCTGAGGGTCCAGTCAACGAGGAGACTTTGGCCTTGGCCATGGCCGACGATTCGAAGAAGTACCAGTGCCAGAAGTGCTCCTATAGTACTCCGCTTCGTGCCAGATTTAAGAAGCATGTCAAATACCATTCGATGCCATTGATCAAATGCGACTTATGCGACTTCCACTCCCCTTACAAGTGGAATCTGGACAGACACACTAAGAACCATGGCGCCGATGGACACTTTCGGTGCAGCCTCTGCGACTTTAGCACGGACATCAAGCAGTCCCTGACCATACACGAGCTGAACCATCATGTGCCCGCCGTGGGGCATCCCATTCGTCGCCGCTTCCTCAAGGAGCAGGAGGAAAAGCTGCACATGGGAGCGAGCAGCTCCAAAAAAGTATCGCCAACTCCGCCACCAGTCATACCTCTCGTCGACGCGTCCATGGAGTTGCCGGGGATCAGCTGCTCCCACTGCCATCAGCTCGTGCCCAATGCCGTGGAGCTTGTCAAGCATCTGCAGTTGTGCCCGCCAGCTTTGGCCAACACTAAGCACCTAAGGGCTTCTTGCCTGGCCAGCCAAGAGCTGCCGGCATCACCGGAAGAGGATTACACAGCTGCAGGCAGTGATCTCAGCTACTGCGGCGTGGAAACAGCCCCTGGCTATGGAGAGGTGAACAGACTAAAGGTCATTCAACACTCCACTAAGTCCAACTCATGTTTACAGGTCACGGAACCGTACGTAGTCGATGATGCCAATGATTCAACTCCTATGAAAAAGGTCTTCAAGTGTCCACATTGCACTTTTTGGGCAGCCACCGCCTCGCGTTTCCATGTCCACATTGTGGGCCATCTGAATCGGAAGCCCTTCGAGTGCTCGCTGTGCGCCTATCGCTCCAACTGGCGCTGGGACATCACCAAGCACATTCGCTTGAAGGCGAATCGTGACAAGTCCCACAACCAGGCACGGGTTCTGATGAACGATGAGACCGGACGACGCAACTACACAAAGTACAATCAGTTTTTGACTCTAATGAAAGTCAATCCAAGCACAGAAGAGTCAAAAGCCACACGCACGGGTGAACAATACGATCCAATGACGGAGATGATGACTGAGGAAGGACAGCTCCCCAAGAAGAAGTCAGCTTTGAAGCACATCGACATGGAAGCTGCAGATTCTCTTACTGGTGCGGGGCAGTCATTCTATCGCAATCTCTGGGACACAGATCTGGGGCTGCAGCAACTACAAACCTCCACAGACGCGATTGTGTCCCCCGCCGGTGATGAACAATATTAGAACCGGACTCTGACTGAAAAGGGGGATCCAAGCCATCCACAAACAAATTGACACTGAAATGAACAAAGAAATACTAGTCCTATAATTATTTATATTAGTATACTTGTAAATAATACAATAAAACATTTTTACACTGAAACAGAAGCCGACACAAGAGTTGTTTTTATCATTTCTACAGTGAGATAAATGTGTATTTGGTAAATGGTTAGTTTAGTTTAGAAAAACCAAAAAATAGTTTAGATTAGAGAGTGTAAGCCGTCCGATAATTAAGTGAGATTAATGAACGATCAACGATGCATCCAGCTAAGCTTTGTCTCGACTGTGCCTTACGAGTAACATATGTATACTAAAAAAATTTTGATCACGCGCTTTTCACAGCAAACATTCCTGTATGATAAATAATACTATGCATATTAAGACGACTAGCGGCAACAGAAAGCAGATCTCGTCCACGCTGAGCGTGAACAGAAGCTGCCAAAGATCGAAGCAAAAGTATAGAGCCTGCAGTAGCCATAACCACAACAACTAAGCGGTCTGGCACTGGACGCTCTCAAAGTGGGGCGATTGTCCGTGCTCGTCATCATCCCCGCTTGGATTAGGACGCGCTTGTGGCTTGTAGTCGGTCATCTCAACCAATTCGGCTCCCTCTGGAATGACAATGCGTTCCCTGGGCGGCAGCAGTTCCTCCAACTGGGCCATCTGCACTGGCGTGGCAAAATTGTTCTCAGGGAAATTCACCTTAAACTTCATATAAAGATCACCCTTGTCGGTGGGCGAGTTGAAAACGGGCATGCCGCCGCCACGCAGCATCTTGATGTGATTGTGCTGCAATACCTCCCCAGGTTCGGTGCGCAAACATACGGGTCGGCCATCCAGATGCTCGAAACAATGCGTATAGCCGCAGAGAGCCTCGGTTATGCTAATCTCCAGGTCCCTCATATAGAGATTAGCGTGACGTCGTTGAAAGGTTGGATGGTCTTGCTGGACGAGCACAACAATCAGATCGCCATATTCGCCGCCACGCATCTGATGCCCCTCTTTGTTGAAGGGCACCTTCAGCATGTGTGGAGCTCCACGCTCCACAATCAGATCCCGTTTCATTTTCTCCTCCACAAAGCCACTGCCACGACATGGGCTACATTTCATGTTGTCTTTGATGGTAAAACCACGTCCATCGCACGCCGGGCAGCTCTGAAAAACCAAAAAAAAAAAGACAATGATATGCCTGGATATACATCAAGAACTGCACAGCTCACTGCATTGAAGGGGCTTAGCCCCATGAAGGTGAAAGCAGCTGCTCGTCCGACACCGCCACAAGCCTCACAGCTCTCATGTGCGTCCTGGGGCCCACCATCGCCGTTGCATTTGCTGCACAACTTCTGGCGATTGTAGTCAACCGTTTTCTTCATGCCACCACTATAAATCTCCTCCAGCGTTAGCTCCAGTTTGATGACAACTTTTCCCTCCCGCTTGGGACGACCGCCGGCAGCACCACCGAATGGAAACCATTGATTCAAGAGATCGGAGGCATCGGCAAAACCTTCGACGCCCTCCTGCAGACCCTTTAAGCCATGACGGTCGTATATACGACGTTTCTCCGGATCGGACAGCACCTCATAGGCAAAAGCAATCTCCTTGAACTTGTCACCAGCATCGGGATTTTTATCTGGATGGAATTCTTTGGCCAATCTGCGATAGTTCTAAGTAGTGCCGCCCAATAACCATTATAAAATGAATTTCCACGAAAGGAGAATTGCGCTTTACCTTTTTAATTTCTTCCTCGGTTGCATCCGGAGCAACGCCCAGCACTTCATATAGGTTCAAATTGTCCATGTTTGTTCAACCCCCTACAAACTAAAGCAGCCGTGCATTGTTTTTAGCAACCAACCAAATATAAAATTTTTATTGAAAAAACTTCCGACAATGACAGTATATTCAGTTCGTAGTTAATAAGTGTGACCAAGTGTAGAAACTGGAACTTCACCTTCAAGAAATACCTAAGAAAAATACCATTAATTCAAATGCCAGCAAGTACAGTAGACACTGGCAGTAAATAAAATCGTGGTTCATGTTTGCAAAATTTTGTTTTTAATGTGTTTTAATTGTTGTTCCTGTAATAGTCATTTCAACACCTGCCATTGGAAAAACGTAAGCGATAATTTTGGTAGGACATGAGCCATTTATATTGAACAATGAACAACTGAAGAAACAATAATAGTACATTTACAACAATCACTGAACTCCATTTTGTTCAACAACTCATGATCAAGCAAGCATCTGAAACATGTCAATTTATATAAGAAATATATGTAGTATTTCATTAAGCAGCAAACATAGGATAGAACAAAAATATCATATAACGAAGTCGCTAAGTTCAATATATAAGCTATTGAGCGTCTACTGTACTATTAAGAAAACGCCCCGATTTTCTCCTAAAATATGGTATTTTAATGGCTAAAATGCCCTAAAAATTGCTAACATTGCAGTATTTTTACGCGCTAGTGTATTTTTCAACGCGAGTTAAGGTACCACTGAGGCCACTGATACATTTTTAATGCACTAACACACGCGCAGCTACGTGTGCCATCTTGCTTTTTCATCGGAAAATTTTCCAGAAATTACGTCTAAAAATTACGAAAAAATTTAAATTAAATTAAGTGAAAATTTTTTCCAAATTTAATCTAAGTAAAATTAAGTGAAATAAATTCGGACAACTGCAAAAATTGGCCCATAATTGTTAGCTGGAGAATTTTTTCAATCAAGCCAAATGGGTGCGAAGCTGACGACGTAAAATTTTGTGTGTACCAACGAAAGAGCGGTGAAAACGGACGGCGCAAGAGCGCAAAGAGAGTGAGCGCATAGAGAGAGCGAATCAGTGAGTGGCAAGAAGAAGACGGACGGAGAAGCAGAAGCAGAAGGCAACACTCGAATCAAATTTCGGTGGTGCGCCTGTGGGGAAAAATGATGGAAAACTTCGAGGAAATTCACTTGGGTCATATTATTACCAAGGATTTGCCCGACATGGCCGATGTTCAATTGCCGAATGCCAAAGAGTTTCTTAGCTTTGAGAACACTTCAACAAATTTTGATTTTGGCGCCGAAATTCTGGCAACGGCAACGGCAACAACGTCGACTGCGACTGCGACATCTACATCAACATCGACAGCAACAGGCGGCGGACCGGCAGCCAAAGCAAATGTTGAAATCAAAACAAAAATATTTGAAGAACAAGAAATTGGCGCCAATATGGATATGGGAGCAGAATTATTGAATGTACTTCCGCCGCTGCAGCAACAGTCCAAACTTCTAGAAAAGTCCAACTCCGAGTGTGACGATGAAGAAGAGGAAGAGGAGGATGATGAAGACGACGATGACGATGATGATGATGATGAGGACGAGGAGGCCACTGGCGAAGAGACCAACGAGGATGAGGACGACACCAGCTCGGACTGCTCATCGGTAGGAGGTGGTGGTGCCACCGACTGGAAGCTCCGCTGGCTGCAACGCGAACTCTACACAGGTCGTGTGCACCGCCAGGTGATTGCCAGCATTATGCCACACTTTGCCACAGGTCTGGCCGCCGACACTGATGACTCAGTGCTGTGGGACTATCTGGCCCATCTTTTGAACGAGCCGAAGCGGCGAAACAAGCTTCCGAATGTCAATACCTTTGGCGATGTCATCGATCTGGTGCAGAAATCTTCCCGAATTATTGTCCTGACTGGCGCTGGAGTGTCTGTCTCCTGTGGCATACCAGACTTTCGCTCCACCAATGGCATCTATGCCCGTCTGGCCCATGATTTTCCCGATTTACCAGATCCGCAGGCCATGTTTGATATCAACTACTTCAAGCGTGATCCGCGGCCCTTCTACAAGTTTGCACGAGAGATCTATCCGGGGGAGTTTAGGCCCTCGCCCTGTCATCGTTTCATAAAGATGCTGGAGACCAAAGGCAAGCTGCTGCGCAATTATACGCAGAATATCGATACTCTGGAGCGGGTGGCAGGCATTCAGCGGGTCATTGAATGCCACGGCTCCTTCTCGACGGCCTCGTGCACCAAATGCAAGTTCAAGTGCAATGCGGATGCCCTGCGGGCTGACATCTTTGCCCAGCGCATACCCGTCTGTCCGCAGTGCCAGCCCAACAAGGAGCAGAGTGTAGATGCCTCGGTCGCCGTAACTGAAGATGAGCTCCGGCAGCTGGTCGAGAATGGCATTATGAAGCCCGACATTGTTTTCTTCGGAGAGGGTAAGTCCTAAGTCGCTTTTCCCGTCGAATAGCCTTCACTTTTACTTGATTTTTTCCATCTTTGAAAATAGGTTTACCCGATGAATACCATACAGTGATGGCCACAGACAAGGACTGTTGCGATCTGTTGATTGTGATTGGCTCCTCGCTGAAAGTGCGACCGGTGGCACACATTCCCAGCAGTATACCGGCAACGGTGCCGCAGATTCTCATCAATAGGGAGCAGTTACATCATCTGAAATTTGACGTGGAGTTGCTGGGTGACTCTGATGTTATTATCAATCAGATCTGTCATCGCTTATCCGGAGACGATGGCTGCTGGAAGCAGATGTGCTCCGAGGAGGCAATGCTCACCGAATGCAAGAATCTAATGCCGCCCGAGCATCATAATCACCTTGGCCTACATCATCATCAATATCTGCACCATCGACACTGCATCTCGGAGAGCGAGCAGCAGTCACAGTTGGACACAGACACGCAGTCCCTAAAGTCAAATGGATCGACCGATTACATTTTGGGTTCGGCTGGAACTTGCTCAGACTCGGGCTTTGAGTCCTCCACATTCACATCCGCAGGCAACACCAACAAGCGCCCACAAAGTGCCGATGATGCCCAGGATCGGGCTGCCATTGAGCGCATCAAGACAGACATTCTGGTGGAGCTAAATCAGACTACTTTGAGCTGTGACCGTCTGGCTGCAGCAGCAGCGGTACCACTACCGGCCGCTTCACCTGGGGAAGCGCCAGTGGAGAGCTATCGTCACTTGTCGATCGACTCCTCAAAGGACAGCGGTATCGAGCAGTGCGACAACGAAGCCTCCTCCGCCAATTCTGCCAACCCCTATGTTCGGCCCAGTAATCTGGTCCAAGAGACCAAGACGGTAGTGGGGCCCAGGCTACCACCAAGGCCGGCACAGCGCGGCGGCAAGCGACAGACAGCTGCCGAGCGCCTTGTCCCAGGCACCTTTTATTGTCACACGAACAACTGTTCGTATGTGTTCCCGGGTGCCCAGGTCTTCTGGGATAACGAGTACAGTGATGATGATGATGAGGATGACGAGGTGATGCGTAAGGATGGCAGCATGATGCCCAAGGGACATGCTGCAGATCTCTTTGGCAATATGGGAGGGGCCAACGATGATGATGACGATGATGAGGACGCCTGCGATCTGAATTCCGTACCATTGTCACCACTACTGCCGCCATCGCTAGAGGCACACATTGTCACCGAGATAACTGGTGGCGTTAGCGGGCTGGATGACTCTGAGCTTCCATTTGACAGCAGTCCCAGTAAGAAGAGAACAAGCTCCAGCCTTGTGCAACAACAGCCAGCACCAGCGATTGAGGGTGAAACGCCGCCATCGAAGAAGCGACGGCCCAGCGAGGAGGAGGAGACTCCCCCTCCGACAAGCGTCGTGTAAAGTTAAATTATATTGCATGCTTGGTAGTAGGATAATATTTATTTTAAATTCAAGTTAAATCAATTGATGCTTAAAAATCCACACAACCACAGAATATGAATATATGTCCAGAGAAGCTCGCCCTTGAACCTAACGTAAAGATTGAAGTGCATCGAGAACACACGAGAGGCTTTAACCCTCGTCCTCCGCTTCCCCGGAATGATATATCCTTCCTTCTGATATTTTCTGCACAAGCTCTAAGTTTATTTATTATATTCCTTTCAAAACGGAACGCAACGCTGTAAATGTTAGTATTTTATTATTATAAGTTTGTTATTGAGGCCTTTTTAGATAAAGCAAATAAAGATGAGAGTTGGAAACAAAAAAAAAGGTAGATGGAGATGGAAACAAGCGCCTCAACTTTAAATCTAGGCTTAACATATTAGACATATTAAACTACTACAAACATTTCTAGATGTATTTAAGAACTAGACACAAAGAAAAAAATACACTCTGTATATAAGAACACGCCTATTACTTTTTTTTACTGTAAATGGATCCCCCTACCCTAGCCTTCTTTAGTTATCCCCTCCCCCAAATTCTATCGGTTATGGCAACTATTTTTCAATCATCCTTCATCCAAAGTATACATACACACACCCACACACACATAACTATATTTATAGTACTATAACTCTGAATCTAATCCGAGTTCGTAGTTTGGTGTGCTGTGCGTGTTGAAAAAAATTTAATCAAAATTTTAGCATAAAATAATTAGCCACCAAACAAAACTGTAGACTTTAGCCATTAAGTCTTAGTTTCTATGTCTAAAAGTGTATTAATATCCACAGAATATAAACGAAAACTTACAAAAATATGTAAAAACGAATTTGTGTTTGTGTTTTTATTTTGGGGAATGAGATCCTAACTTCGAGATCTTTCGAGCCATGCTAAGCCTATAGGATACTGCATATTGTACCTAAATCATTGTGCTAAATTTGCTCTGTCGTCTTTTAATTAGCTCTCCGATTAATGTTGTTTCTACTACAATACGCTTACCAATTCAATCTGCATTTCATAAGATTCGTAATCTTCGAGCTTTAAAGCAGCGGTTCTTCATGACGCGGCCCGTTGACGCTCCACTCGAGACGATGGCGAACTGTCATATCTTGATGGAGACGTTCACTTTTTTTCCACTGAAGTGTCCTAGGTTTTCAGGAAATACAATTCTTTAACATTAATTTCAACTTCTCGACAACTCAGCCAGACTGCTGTCGCTCAGGGTTTCATTGTAATGATAAAGAAGGCACAAATGCATTAAATTTCAGAGCTGGTTCGCTACGAAGAAGATTATTATTTCATTAGATTATTATAAAACGTTACAGTTCAGATGCCCAAATAAAAAAGAGTATACGTTTTCTTTCAATACTTGCAATTTCGAATTCGGGTTTATTAAGTATTTTCGACATTAGCTGGTACCTTAATGCTATCTAGATACCTTAGATAAACTACTATTTAGAGGGTTGGGTTGCCTTTCTTCAAAAGTATACCATTTAATGCTCACTGCGGAAAAGAGCAACTAAATTGGAGAAAGAGAGCGCGCGCTGTGGCGATCTATTGTGTGATCTCGCGGTGATTCTTACGGACTAGGAGCAGCAGCCAGCGGTCCCGACTTACACTTACTATAGCGAGATACTGCCTGGACTTCCTGGATTCAATATGACATTTCGTGGATAGACTATTGGGGGCGGGTTTGGTCAGCAACGTAACCTATTTACAATTATAACAATATATATTGTATGCGTTGCCTTTGATTTTATATATTTATATACTTTATATATAAAAAACTATGAGTGCTAAGAAAAAAATGTTTCCTTCCAACCACCCCGCAATAATTTGTTTGTGGTACAGAGACTGTGAGTGTTATAACAAGAGCGTACATCTATCTGTAGCTACTACGTACGGACTATGACACGATTTAAATCGATATATAAAATAACGCGCGTTGTGTGTGAGAGACTGGCGTGAGGTTATACATTTCTGTGTTTAGGCAACGTTCTCCAAGGGCTAACAAATACTTCAGTATGTATTATATATATATATCTCTTTATATATATATATATATAAATGTGTGTGTCTCGGTGATAAATTTCGTATTGATTTTAAAAAAATATGAAATATATATGAAAGTCGATCCAAACATGATCCCCGCACTATAAGTACGACGATTTGTTGGTCTTGTGTGATCTGGCCCTACCCGGATTCACTTTGCACTTGAGCTGGGTAATCAGATCGGAGATTATCAACGCTGGTCCCACTTTCATGCCCAACAGTGGCATTATATCATCCTTGGTCAATTGCAGTAGCCGCTTGCCATCGATCTTGCTGCGACTGAACGTGTCACAGTAGGCGGTGCAATCGTTGACACGCAGGAACTGCGACACATCGTACACGTTCCAAGAGTCCGGCTGTAGCTCCAAATGTGCCGCCTCACTTGCATCAATGTCGGCCAGACGTGGAATGTACTTGCTGCTCGTCGCCGAAGAGTTCTAGAAAGTGAAAACAAAATTTGATGAGAATCCTTTCAAACAGTTTTGTTGGGGGAGGAAAAGATGCATGAATAGATGTTTGCTTGGATGCAGGGATGGATATTTTGGATGGATGTGGATGCGGCTGGTGGTAAAACAGTGCGTAAAACAAAATTATATACAAATGTTGCGCTTTTTGATTGTTGTACAGATATTTAGTAATGTTGTGGCGCCCCGGATCGAGTTGCATATGTGAGAGATGCTGGGCGATGGGCAGGCGATAAGTAGGCGATAAGTAGGCGATTGAATGGGCGGGCGGGCGTTCTAGGTCTGGGTCTAGGCTGGCTGATGATTTTCTACGCACTATTATTCCACTCCAATACTCACCGCAATGTAGCTAGTGGCTTTGCGGCCCACAGTTGGTGGCGCCGGTGATTTAGTAGTGGAAGATTTCTTTACCATTTTGTTGCTGTTGCCGCCGCTGCTGCCCGTGGCAGCAGTTACTACCGGTGTTGAGGTGGAACCACCGCCGCTCCCGCTGCCGAGTATTTGATCACTGGAGGAGTGTGTGGTTGATTGCTCAGATATGTGACTGGTGCTACCATCGCCATCGCCATCCGCATCCGCATCTAGATCGGCATCGGCATCTGGATCTGGATCCTCTTCATCTCCATCCCCATCCTCGGGCTGATTGTTCTCATAGAAGGCTGCATTATGATGCTCTGGCTTCAGTTCCAGCTTAATGCTCAGCTTCGGCAAATGCGGTGTGGTCTTCAGGGCAATGGTTCGCGGTTTAACTGAAAAAAAAGAGCAAATTATGATAGAAATTTTAGCAGCAGCAGTGGCAGTGTAGATGCCTCACCCGTCTGCGTCGTCTGCGTATTGTCATTCTGTTGCTTGGCTGCTCCTCCTCCGGTTGTTGATGCACCTTTCTTGGTCTTCTTTTTCCTTGGCACCTTGGGCTTGGGCGCCGGTTTGGCCACCTGCTGATAGGACACCCTTGGCGGTCCCTCCAGCTTATGGCCCACAAGGATACACCAGCCCACAGGATAGATATCAGCCGACTCACAGTCCAGCCACTGATCATACTCATCCGTCCAGCCATCGAAATGTACTTTCAGCAGGCGTCCCACCACCCGTGCCACTGTGGCCACGCAGACGAGTCGCGGATCCATCAGATCGGCACACTCCAAACTCATGCCCGTCTCAAAGCCATGCTCGGGCACCACACGATGGAACAAATGCTGATTGGCGGCCACGGCACCAGTGTTCCGCAGATAAACCTCCCAGGTAAAGGTGCGCGAATCGTAACCATTCGGCGGCGTCACACTTATATTATTCGCGCTGCAGAAACCAGCCGGAAAAATGCAAGGAGACTTTTCATGGTAGCAGAACCTGCAGCAGCAAATAAACGTAGAAAAGTTGCTTTAATTATTCGCATTAATGGTGCACTGAAAGGCTCACCAATCCGACCCTGATTCATCCGGCTGATACGAGTCAATGCGTATCATCATGTAGCCAAATTTCAGCACAGCCATCACTGTGGCCGGGCAAATGGAGGATAGATTTAGAGGATCCACTGCCTCCAGCTTCATGCCTTCGATAAAACCATTCGTTTTGCCATCCAGAAAATACTCATCGAAGGTGAAATTCATTTTGAACAGCTCGATGGTCGCATCGTCCTCGTGAACCTCAATCATGGCCTCGCGACCAGCTAAAAGGGAGAGAAAAACGTTTAAATTAGGTATCTACGAAATGATCAGGGTGAATATCAATGTCTCACCCAACATCCTTTCAAGATAATCCTGTGGTGCTGCCAAATTATGTCCCACCGTGGTGGCCCAGCCCACTGGGTGTATAATGGGCGAATCCTCGTGACACCAGAAGCCATCATCCGTGTCGAAATACCGCAGGAACAGACGCTTACCCACTATCTTGGTGACAGTGGCCAGGCGCACTTGGGAGATGCGATCCTTGTCGACGCACTCGAGATTCAATCCCAGACGAAAGCGCGACTGGAGGCTGTCGTTGATTTTGTTGTAGAAATTCGAAGGCAATGTACGGGCACCGGACAGTCGACCCACGAGGAAATCCTTCCAATCCTTGTACTTGTGCTCGATGGTGCGTGGGGGTATCAGGGGCTTGCCCCTTGTGGCACACCACCCCACCGAATGGACCTCGGCATTGCAGAGATTCACCCAAAAGTCATGGGAATCCGTATCGAATCCCTCGTAGCTCATCAAAGCTTTGTATCCCTTGATCTCTAGGATGGTGGCCACCCAAAACGATGTGGGCGTCTGTCCTGGTTGGATGATCTCTATGTTATCGCAATCTGTGTTTTCCACCTCAACCTTCATTCCCACACCGAGATTATCCCACACCTCACAGCCGGGGGCATGCGGGAAGCAGGTCACGGGCGCCGCATTGAAGTTCTCCTTGTTGAGACGCGGTAGCCAGTCGTACGAGTGTGTCGGGTCGTACATTCTCCGCCTGATGCTCAGGACCTTCTCCATTTGTGGACACGGGGCCGGCAGACGTTCGTACTTGGGTATCTGTGGCAGATCATCCTGCGGGTAGACATCCTTGAACAAGCGCAAGGCTTTCGGCGTGGGCGCTGCACTTAAATAGCCACTGCTGGCTGTGTTGGGTGTGCTGGTATCGTTGCCGCTGCCATTCGCCTCGCCTCCTGGGGCCGCTGCATCGCCCACGGCAGCACCATTTAAGGCCGCAATGGTCTCATCGGCGGCCATCTGTACATTATGGGCGGCGGCATCACCGCCCAAAGACATGGGCTCTCCAAAACTATTCAATTGTGTGATCTTCGATTGATCGGTTATGCGAAAACGATAATTGGCATTCTTTATATGGGCCGCATGAAGATCCAGTTCAATGTCCGACTGTGGCTGATCGGACGCCAAAAGAGCATCCTCCGTGACATCCAGACTAGTGCCAGACGCTGCTGGCAAAGGGGAACTGCTCGTTGACTGGTTGTTGCTGGTTGTGGCTCCTGTTGTTTCCATTTTATTGTTGAGTACCAAAGAATAAAGCTCGCCACGGGCACAGGCCATGCTGCAGAAGCGACGAGATTTTGTATAAAATGTGTGCTTCACGCCAATGGCACCGCAACGTTCACAGACAGCTGGAGAAGAAAGACAATTATTAAGTAAAGATGTTAACTATTACTTTGGATAACATTTATAATGGTTTCTCACGTCTATCCCTCTGCCGTATACAAACCCAAATTCTTGCAAACACAAAAACGAAATGATAAAACAGAAAGCGAACACAAGAACTAAGGTAAAATCATGTGAAAGAGAGAGAGTGCAAGCCTTACCCATGCCATCTTTCTGTATAGGTATCACCGATGGATCTATGTTGCCCTTGTAGGCAATCGGTGTCTTCAGGACAAGTCCTGGCCTGTTCACAGGCTCTATTTTGCGCGTCTTTCGCTGCGCCCGCATCACGGCTGTCGAGGCCACTGTAGTGACTGTGGCGCTGCTCGTGCCGCTACTGTTGCTGTTTCTGTAGCCCTTCATCTGTTTGCTGCTGGGTGGATCGGCAGCGGTGACCATTATGTTGCCAAAGACATTGCTATTCCCAACATTGAGCGGCATGGCGGGTGCCAGTGTGGCACCGAGCAGCTTATGATGCATCAGGCCATCACCCAGCGGCACTAGCAGGTCGTGCTCTGCTCCAGCCACACCCAGGCTTACGCCGCCACCCTGCATATGTGTCAAGCCCGAGGAGGAGGACTGCGAGATATCCTTGTCGGAGGAGGTCATAAAATCGGTGCCATCGTACGAGTTATTATCCTCATTCATCATCACAAAGTCATCGATGTTGATTATCTCCTGCTTGGGCTCCAGGCCAGCGCCACCATCATCGTAGCCATCATCGATCTGGTGGCCATACACCTGATCATCATCATCGCACGTTTCTCCGCCCACACAACCACTACCACCACCACCATCCATGAGCTCTCCGTGTGGGTCTGTGGCCAATCCAACCGTCATACCATCAGCGTCCATCACTTCGGTATAGTTCTGAAAGGCGGCCACTGCCGCCGACTGTTGGAGCAACTGATGCTGCAGCCCACCCAGATGGGCAAAGCTATACAGATTGTTGCTATTGGTGGCTATCAGAGTGCCAGGCGGGAGCGTGCCACTCAGTGTGGCGGCATGACCATTGAAATCACCCCCAACCAGGCCCATCATGGGATTCATTTCCTTTTTTTTTTGGTATCATGTGTGGAGGAGGGATCATTGATTGGTTGGATCATTCGATTGGTTTGTGTTTTGTGTTGATATTTGTTTGATAAATTGTAACCGAATCGAATACATAAATCATAGAAAAGAAAGTAGAAGAAATAAGTAAACGAATTCCAATTCTTTCGAAAAACTGAGACACAAACAAGAGTGTTTTTTTTTAAAGAGAGATCTCTGGCCAATCCCCATTATAAACCTAAGGAATTTGGGTTTGTTTTCAGTATTCAAAGACTAACAAATATAAGCCAATCTTAGTCGTATCCTCAACAGATAGTTTTGTATTATATTTACTAATCTTTGAACTGAGAGATTGGCTCTAAATAGGTATAAATACATATTTGATTGACTCACCAAAGTGGGCTGATGATGATGGCCAGACATCTCCTCCAGCAGTCCAACAGTGGGATGGTTCAATAGTGCAGTCGCATCCTCCAATGTCATATTGTTAGCGGCATTATACTGACTACTCATCCACATCATATGCAGCTCCGTCGGATTCATAGACGATGTTGATGTTAATGATTCCAGGGATTTTGATTCAGATTCAGGAGGGCCAAAACATTTATATGACACCGATTCTCATATATTTTGAGTATAGATCTTCTCTCTGAATAGCAGCTGGAATAGAGGCTAAAATAAAATTATTATTAAATTTTATGATTATTATTAATAAAATCTACGACCAATTTAAAATGTGAAAAAAAAACAAACATGTTGTGTACATGACCCTGAACTTCAATCTGCACACGAATCAATATAAGCCTTTTAAATACGTTGCAAGATGTTTCATCTGAACACAAATTCCATTTGAATTTTCTTTCGACGCTTCGTGGGTACGTGCGCGCGGGTTAAGATACTGGCACTTCATCTCTATTTTGGCCTATCCTTCGTATCAGACCGCAGTCAATCAAGCCATGTCCAAGTAATTTATTTGTCTTTGGTTTCTTTGGACTGAGACGAAACATGGTCTAAATTTATATATTTATTTAGCTTAAGAAATAATCTGTGATATTTAGGAATTTAAACAGAAGAACGGACCAAGTGGTGTCGAAAGAGTTTCCTTTATCCCACTAGAAACATACTTATAAACAAGAACAAATAAAAACTTGTAGTCTGTGAGTAGTAATTATCCCAATGGTCTTGAATGTCTGTAGATCAGTAGATGCCACAGATACCAGAAAAAAGCCTAAATTTGGAGTTATAATTGTTTAAATTTGGAATTACGGAGACAGGACTTTCGAGCACATGTCTGAGAATTTATGTATGTACATATTCTCAACAGATCTTTTCAGAGTTTTGTTAGTAAGTTCGAGCTCCCCAAACACACACACACTGAACAATAATACACTAACACCAACACAAATATACAGTAAAAACTCCTTTGCAAGGGCCCAAGGGCCATATGGAGTTTATCCGACGGCGCCTGATTCCTCGTTGAGCCCCGTTTGTTTGCCTTTTTCCTTTTCTCTCTCTCTCTCTTTACGTTTTTTTTTTCGCACGCAGCTGCTGCGCAAAGGGAGCTACAACAGGCAGAGCAGCGGCATGGAAATGTGATTAATGACTTCCGCTGCTGCCTGGCCAGACGTATTCAAATTAGTTTTAGACAAATGCAACTGCTGCGAGCCCCAAAAACAATACACATTTGTATAGAATATCACCGAAATTCCGGTAATTCTTTTTACTTTGAACCATACACTCGCACGAAAAGTCAATGAAGCGCACCGTGCGCGCAGACACCAACGAACACAGCACACAAAAGAAAACGTTCAAAACAGCCGTACGATGGTTAAACTTACATATGTAGAACAATTAACGAGTTTGCTTTAGGGTCTATATACAGTATCCACTTGTTGCAGACGTTTTTTAAGCATTTTCAATTGTTTTATTACGATTTATGCGAGTTTTTTGTGTGCTAAATTTGCGCCAGAGCAGGGCTGGCAATTACCTTCCAGAGTTGCACTGGACGCTAGTCGATAGCATTTTGGCATTATTTTTCGCGCAAAACGAAACGACCAGGGGTGCACGCACCAGTGCTGGCAGTTTTGATTATTTCAGGCTAAATCTGGCACTTTTGAAAATGGAATAGCTTTATATTTGCAAGTAGCTTACATATGTATATAAGGTGCTCAGCATATTTTTAAAATCATATACTTAGATCATCAAAATTTTCCATCGCCAGAAGCAGGGATGATATTGGTATAGAAACGACAAGAAATGCATGCCTGTATTTTGCAGCAGTCGTTGTGTAAATGCAGATTAGCAAAATAAAATGTCGATTAATACTGGAATGACAACCGATACGATACGATACAAAGATTATGAAAGACAAAGAAAGACGGTTATTTGTTTATTATAATTAATTAATTTTATACCCGGTACTCATAATATTCATTTTTAAGGAAATAAAAAGCGTGTTGCATTTCCGTTCTCCAGCGCCCACAAATAATACATTTCTGCTTGTTCTATTTGTTAAAGTGAAACCGTAAAGCATGTGCACCTTTTTACACCTCTACTGGAAACCAAAATTGTGTTGTTAGTGTCTTAGCATAATTTTTAGCTTTTTTTCGGCTTAGCCACTTTTCACATATTTTCTTCTCGTTCTCTGACATTCTGGCAGCCCTGGTGCGCACAACAGCAATACATATCTCCGGAGTATTTACCAACACTGTACAGTTAGTTTGTTGTCAAAAACAATGAAAAGAAAAATATTCGATGAGTAATTAAATAATATTGAAAAAAAAATGCCAGAAAATGCTTCTTTGGAGCACTCGCTGCGGAGCATGCGGACTAATCTCAGTGGCAGTACTTTTGGACAACGACGCGAGGATATCTTCCGACGACTTCAGGAAAGTGCGCATCAAATCTCCCTCCACTATGATGGCAAAGAGCTGGCCACCGAACGGGACGAATCGGTGCAGGAATTCTGTGAAGCTCTGGAGGATCTCCTCAGCTATGGTCTTCGGCAGTCCATCAGCGTGACCTTCAGTGCGGCCAGCTTTCTCCAGAACATGCAGGAGATTGTGACGGGAAACGCTGGCGGGAGCGGCGGCGGCAACGGCAGTAACAACAATGACACTACATTCTGGGACTTTTGCCAATCGCACCTAACGCCACATGAAAGACAGCGCTACATGGAATTGAAGCAGATATGGACCAAGACAGGGCGAGGACGGGCCTTTATCCGCTCCACACTCAACGAGAAGCGCCTGCAGAGTCACGTACTTACCTGGCTGAGCGATGAGGAGCAGCTGCATCGCTACTACACACCTTGGTCGCTGCTGCTCAACGAAGAGGCTGCCAAGAAACTGCCCGAGATTCTAGACAGCCTCAAGGATGTGTTATTTGCTCTCCAAGTGGACACAACGGAACTGAATGCTCCCAAACGGTCAACGGCAGCTGTTCCGGGCAAGGAGGAACCCATTATATATGCCCCCAATCCTGTACCTGTGGCATCGCGCAAACAGAGACGCGCTGCCAACGCTGTGGAGCGTCCTATCGAGGGGGCCAGCTCCACCGAAGATCTGTTGGGTGCCCTCTCGCCCAGAGAGTCGCTGGAGGTGCAACAACTCATGTCCAAAGATGTCGTGGAGGAGGAGTTGTCGAAAGTGATAGCCGAGGATGGATCTGCTGCCCCGTTTGATCCGATAGAACCAGAGCTGGAATTCCTTAAAACACCTTTGCCAGATGTCCAGCTCACAAACGATCAAGCTGCCGTCGATTCGGAGTTCTTTGAGGACCGCAGTGACACATCATCTCAGTGGAGCAAGTCCTCGTCATCGGCCACCTGCATAGCCAACACGCAACAGCAAGTGGCGCTGGAGGAGCAGATGAACCTTTTGACCGAACGTTGCGCCCTGCTGGAAACTCGAGTGCAGGAGCTGAAGCTGCAGAACCGTCAGTTAGTGCGTCGCCTCACCAGGCAGTTTGAGGAGACTGGCATTGATCCAACCTCGTCGTTTTGCGCCAACTTCCTGATTACCATTCCACAGGTGAAGCTCGCGAAGACCCAGCGTTCGGGCTCCCACTACACCTACGAGATACACATAACGATGCGGCAGCGCTTGGAGCACTGGACCCTCTTCCGACGCTACAGTGATTTCAACAAGCTACACAAGTCCCTGATGCGAACCCATCCTGTGGTCAGCTCTGTGGAGTTTCCGCCCAAGAAGCATTTTGGCAATATGAATCTGGTGTTTGTGGAGGAACGACGGCAGCAGCTGCAAATCTATTTGTTGAACCTGGTCGAGACATTGCCACTGGTGGAGGCTTGCAAATCAAAGGCGGAGCTGCAAAAAGCCTTTCCCTTCTTCAGAGAGAGATAGCAGAGAGTAGCAGATGATGTGATGATTTGAAAACCAACCAACCAACCAACGAAGCTCGTAAAGAACAAGTATTCACGTATATAATTTCTGTTTTGTTATCAAGATCTTTACTTATATGTGTAATAATGGAGTTTGGTCCAAGTGCTGTAAAGCAATGATATTAAAAAAAGACCTACACCTAGGCTTTTCCGAACAATAAACAACTTAAAATGAAGTTAAAATTTGAATTATTCAGTAGAATAATCGATTGCACATATCGATGTGTGGCTGACCATCAGTCCATCCCTGGTCGAAACAGCTGCGTTTGTTGTTATCAGCGCTCGCTTGGCTAATTGCGTGTACTTCGTCATCTTCGTTACTCTATTTTTCGGCAAAATGATATGGTGATCGATCCTAGTTTCCCGGTTTTCCGAATTTACCCACCTTGGTCATCGCCGACCTTGTGACTGCATAACGACAATATTTGCACGCGCTAATTGAATTAGTGTCCAGTAAAGTGGAGGAAGGAGGTTGCATTTATATTCACGGTCATGTCTGGAGCAGCAATAGCTATAAATGCGGGTATATCCGTGGCAGCCTACTGCATGGCAGTGCGAATGATTCCACGATTCCGTGAGATGTTCATCAAGGCAAATCTCTTTGGCAACGATCTCTGTAAAAAGGATAAGCCACAGGTGTAAGTCAAGTCTCTGCCGCAAAAGGAGAATCTTTCCTAACGTATTTATTTTGCAGTCCCGAATCCTTTGGCGTGCTAATTGGGTGCATCTTCTTGATCTCTCTATTTATATTTATTCCCATACCATTTGCTTTCGATGAGGCGGCGGCCACGGATGTTGTGACTGGCGGGAAACCTGCCACCTTCCCACACGATAAAGTACGTATTCTTTTAATTAATCGACTTGCTTGTGTTCATGTGCTTATCTTTCTAAACAGTTTGTGGAACTGATTGCTGCCCTGCTATCCATTTGCTGCATGATCTTTCTGGGCTTTGCCGACGATGTTCTGGATCTGCGCTGGCGCCACAAGCTTCTCCTGCCCACAATCGCCACATTGCCCCTGCTGATGGTCTACTATGTCAACTACAATTCGACCACCGTGATAATGCCAAACTTTGCACGTGGCCTTGTTGGTACCTCTTTGAACATAGGTATTGGCATTTGTCTCCATCCAACTTTATAGCATCTTCTAAATCTCTGTCCTGTTCTGTGCATAGGTGCCCTGTACTATGTTTACATGGGCATGTTGGCTGTATTCTGTACGAATGCCATCAATATATTGGCAGGAATTAATGGCCTGGAGGTGGGTCAGTCCCTGATCATAGCCGGCTCCATATTGCTCTTCAATTTGATTGAATTTACGCTGGGCCATCAAGTGGACTCCCACATTTTCTCCATTTTCTTTATGTTGCCCTTTCTGGCTACCACGCTGGCTCTTTGGAAATTTAACAAGTAAGTCTTTTGATTGATGTTCTATATAGTTTATTTTATTTTATAAATACTGAGAATTGATCTGGCAAGTTAACAAATTTCATATAGAATAATTCTGATACAACATGCTGTCTGAATGCCAATTTCGCATTTAATTAAATCAGGTTTCATAAGAATTAATAATTTATATGATGGATTACTTGTATATCAAAAATGAAGATACAAATTAAAGTCAAATATCTTTTGAACGGTGAAGTGAGTTTCGAAAAGTGATATATATTTCTGATCTACACTTCAATACCTTTAACAATGTTTGGTGTGTCATACATAAGCCCGTAAAGGATCCAAGATTAGGGTAGATTAGGCAGAGGCGGCGGTCAGGCTCGCTAGAAGCCCGTCACACTTATGCCGGTTTCGGCCCGTTGTGGTACCGTACCGCTTAAGACCCAATAAAAGAAGTAAAATTGATCTATTATAAAATAGTATACACAAATTCCCAATTAAGATTTTAATGAAACCTAAAAATACATATCTTTCAAAATTTTTGTGATAATATAACACTTGGCATTACAGATCATGTATATACTTCTTTATATTTCTTAAAAATAATGCTAAATTCCCTTGAACTTATTTTCCACAACATAGTTTATGTAATTCCAGCAAAATGTTCTTCGTTTTAGTTTCGTTTTTGGATAAATTCTTCTGATTTAGTTGTTGGTTTCTTATCACAGATTTTGCGGGTCTGTCTGTCCTGTCTGCTGAGAGATAATAAATTTGGAATACGATTGGCCAAAAAACACAGAAGGGCGGGCAATGCTGATGATATGATATGGTGATTATGAGATCAAGATTGACTTTGATGGGGCGTTCGAAAGCAGGCACATATAAATATATATATTTAGAAATCTATTGCCCAAGTCAGACTTGAGCAACCTTAGTCTTCCTGGATATCTTCGAAGATATCCACATCGTATAGATTGACTAGCAGCTGCCCAAACTGACTGCTGTGCAGGAGAGCCTCGTCGGGGGCATAATACTTCTCGCTTTGCTGACGCAAACGCAACAGCTGTGTAGAACCATCTATATGGTAACCATTCGCCATTAGCTGCTGCATGTAGGTGGCATCAATGTGGGCGTTGCGCGTATCGTTGGGCAGCTTCACAGGTAGCTTATGGGACGGGTGCTGTTGGAGCAGGAGTACAATCTGCTCGGGTGGCAAGCACATCTCACAACTCCAGCCACCATAATGATTGAGATCTCCCAACGTATTGCTGGCCTGGCGCTGCAGCAGATGGGGATCTAGTTGGGCGCCCCGCAGATGCCCCAAGGAACTTATCACACCGTTCAGGAGAGTCCTCTTCGGATGCTGCCAATAGAAGCCGTATACGTTGTACTTTAGACGAAATCTTAGTGGCAGCACATCTTTTGCATAATACTTGAGAAACTTTAAAGCGGCCGGCGCATACACAGTCCGACTGTCGCCATGGAGTAGCAAGTCCTTGGCCTCCATCTGAACACCGCAGAGCGACCAGAGCTGCCGCCGAAAGTGTGCATAGGCCGCAGCACTGCTGCAGTTGCCAGCCGATGTGCAGCGGAACAGAACATAGCTCGCCTTGCCCCCAAGCAGACTGTCCAGGCTGCGCTCCTTGCTCCCGTTGCTCACGTAGTAGATGAGGAAGTAGTCGACCACCTCGAGCAGGGCCCTCAGTTGCAGTTCCAAGAGCTCCAGGCTGATGTGCTCCCAGGCACCAAGATCCACCATGTAGAAGAGACGATGCAGGGAACTCGAGCTGGCTTCAGACAGTTGCAGTGGCGCAGTGCCGCCTCCCCGCCTGCTGGCCCGACTGTGCGTCATCAGGGCTCGCCAGATGATCTCTGGCTGGCCACAGTCTCGCCCGTGCCAGCCGATGGCGCATTTGCACTGCGGCGGAGCCATCAGATAGTCCACATCATTGATGTGCTGGCTCTCGTTGATGGTACCCTCGCGATAGCACCAGAGGGCGGCTGCTGGACCCATCTCCATTTCTACATAGGCGGGGACATTGTAGTCCGCCTGGATCTGAGTATCATTCAGTCTGTCTGGTTTCATTTGATAAAAGTCCCTATCATAGCGATTTACATTCTCGTGCTGTCGTGGACAGTGGGTGCCCAGACTTTGACTCCTGTCTGTTGTTTCCGCTCCTCCGCTTTTGACAAAGTTCACCCGGTTGTGGCTCTGATCCAGGCCTTGCAGCTGATCCTGGCTGCTGTAGTTCATCTGCAACAGCCATATGCAGCCTATGAAGCCAACCTGAAGAATCAGCACGGACCAGAGCACCAGTTTTTTGGTTATGGCCAAACGCCCGATGCCGATGCCGCCGGTGGCAGATGTTAGCGTCTGTGACACCGAAATTGTGTTCCTCACCATAGCGGTTCAGTTTTTAATAGTTTTTTCTGGTCATTTTATCAACGAATATTGCGTTCTTTCTTCACGTTTTTTTCTCGGCCAAACACACCCAAAAAATTTTACTTTCAACTCCCCCGCACAGCTGTCGAAAATGTCCTCCCGTCCACAGCTGTTCGAAAGCGCTTGGAGTTTAGCCCTTTTCCCGCTAAATCTGGCTACATTTTACACTACCCATAAAATTGATCAGATCATGTTTTAAATTAATATTATCATAATTATCAACTTACCCGTGACATCGAAGGCTGAAAAATAAATTAAAATCTACATAATATATAGATATCATATATAGTTATTTGGAGTTTGAAAGACTTAACGTCAAAATATATAAAATGCTTAGAAAAAGAAATTCCTTTTAAATTTAGCATTTAGAGTCTAGCATTTTTCCCGCTAAAACTGCTAGCATTTTACAACACTAATATAAAATGAGAAACATTACACTATGCAACACCACTGCACATTAGCCGTTAATCCATAGATTTAAACGATATCTAAAACGAAAACACAATGAAAACACAAGAAGTAAGGCTTTTTTTACACAACTTTTATATTTATGCACTAAAGTGTGACACCTGCCAAGAAAAAGTACCCAAAATTTAAGTAAGTTCAGATATTTAAATTCGAATTTTTCCCTTTTTTGCAGATATCCCTCGCAGGTTTTCGTTGGGGACACCTATTGCTACTTTGCCGGCATGACTTTTGCCGTGGTTGGAATTCTGGGGCACTTTAGCAAGACCCTGCTGCTATTCTTTCTGCCCCAAATAATTAACTTCCTGTACTCGACGCCGCAGCTGTTTCACTTTGTGCCCTGCCCCCGTCACCGCCTGCCCAAGTACGACACCAAGACCGACCTGCTCCACATAAGCACTACGGAATTTCGACTGGAGGAGCTGAATAGTCTAGGGCGTCTGATGGTCACAGTTCTAAGGAAATTACGGCTGATCAGCTGGCACAAGACTGCGGACGGAGTTGTGAGAACGAACAACCTGACGCTGATCAATTTTGTTCTGGTCATCTTTGGGCCCGTCCATGAGAGGGTGGTCACCCAAATGCTGATGGCTCTACAGGTGCTGTGCACGCTTTTAGCCTTAGTCATACGCTATCCTCTGGCCAATTATTTCTACGAGAATACGTAGCTCTGGATTCTGATATTTATTGTAGTAAGCCCTGCCTTTCCCAACTCCTATATACAGATCTAATACTGATTAATGTCTACACTATATTTCATTTCCCAAAAGTAAGTTAAGTAAATCTGTAATTCTCTCGTCAAATAAAACAAGAAGCTACGAAATCAAATACACCATGAGCGTATCGGACATGTCAGAGGAATCGGATGTCTCCTTTCCCGAAGAGGAGGACGAGGGGCCCAACATAGGCGTAAGCTAACACGGATTACAAGTGTATGTAGATGTATTATATATTCTCTCTATTTCAGCTCTATATAGGCGGTCGCAATGCTGCCGGACAGCGTCACGGACGTGGCTGGGCCATCTTGCCCAATGGCGATCAGTACGATGGCAATTATCGCAAGGGACGCCGCCATGGCATTGGCCTCTATGTCTTCAAGGATGGCTCACGCTACTACGGACAATATCGCTGCGGTAAACGGTGTGGACGTGGCATTTTCATCTACCCCGATGGCTCTGTATATGAGGGCAACTGGCGCAAGCATTTGAAGCATGGCAAGGGGCGTTTTAACTATGTGAATGGGGACACCTACTCTGGAGACTGGTACAAGGGCCAGCGCCATGGTGTGGGCATCTATAGCTTCAATGGCAACAAGGACGGCTGCTGCATGTCAGTGCGTTTAAAGTCTACCTGGAATCAAAACATTCGCATGGGACCCTTCGAGCTGCACATTGGCAACGACGACAAGTGCACCGTTCTGCACGGACTCTGGGACAATCTGTATCCCATCGGGCCTGCTGTCTTCAGCTTCGACAATCGCTATATGCTGCTGGGTTTCTTCCTACCTGCCAATTACAACTTTAAGGACGGTGGCGATAATCTGGCCGAAGACGAACATCAGGGTCTGGAGGAGGATGAGGAGGGCAATCCACTGCCCATGGAACCATCCCTGTGGTTCGCTCAAGAGATTGCCTGCTATGATTACTCCATTTTGCCCCAGGAGCCGGTGCCATTGCCAATGTCAGACTCTGAGCTGTCCGTCTGTTCGTTGTCCACCGTTGCGAGCATCCGCAGTGAGGAGAAGATCAGCTTCTATGGCGAGGGCGAGGAAGCCGAGGGCGAGGAGGAGGGTGAAATGGAGTGTTTCCCCTGCGAGTGCGAGTACGACCTCAGCGAGGTGGAAAGCGATAGCGAGGTATGCAAGATCGATGCCGATCCCTGCTGCATTGAGATCCTCAAGCAGCCCGAGTGCCCCGAACCATAGGGTGCCCTTCCCCCCTATTCTGTTTTTGTGTTTTTATATTCGTTGTAATGCATTAAATCTCGGATCGATTTAGAGAGACTAAAAGAGGGGTTTAATATGTCAGAACCTGGCACAAGAAGTAATCAACGAAACGGAATCGTTAGTCTGAAATAACGTTTTCATTCCTAGCCCAAGCAGAGATGGACAAGGTTCAAAAAATTCAATATATTTTAAAATTAAAAATAGGGTGATGTTATTGCAGTTTTATAATCGCAGCGCTGCCTCCCAACCAAAACAGTGATTTGTTTTGTAAAGTTTTAAAAAGTGATTTGATTTAATTGGAAGAATCATCAGTATTGTATCTCTCCATTACTGGTGGTGGTGGGACTACGAATTTCGATAGATTCTCTAAGAACCTTATGTACTGGTCATGTTCATAGAATGTGGAGAAATCTGAAAGCTTGATGGCGAATTCATTAGTTATCCCCTGATCAGCCAGAAAATCCATGACAGCCCAGTATAGATTATCATCAATCATATTGGCCTTGACAGTATAGGTATCCTCTTTCTCGAATAGCGACATCGCCTGAATCTCAAACACATCGGGAACGATCTGATGTTCTTGCAGCAACGGTGCACCATCTTTAAAGGCCTCCGACAGGAATTTGCAATGGATGGACAGCAGTGTGTTACCATAGGGGAAACGCACCTCGAAATTGGGCATAATGCGGAAAGGATTGGATAATTGTCCGATGCCTTTGTCCTTTCCACGTTCCCTACTTTTGCTGACGTTGAAAATTATGTTGACAGGATTCACGACCCCCTCTTTGATCAGCTTCACTTCGGAGCCGCAAAACACGGCTTCAAACCCATTCATACATTCAAAGGGTTGCTTTACCAGTCTTTCCGCAATCATTTCCGTGGCAAGCAAACACACAAGATTGCGCCGCGCTGGGCTTATCTTTAAAGCCGTTAAGTCCTCCGACGAAAGCTGGTCCAACACCGGATCGCTGATGTCCTTCTGCATGGGCCGGAAACTGAGTGCGATTGTGCGGCGTTGAATGGTGACAGGAGGCGACGACAAACCGCATTTGGCTAATGCCCGTGGAAACATCTGCAAGGCCTTTAGAAGTCTGGACATGATATCGAAACAATTGATTTATTTTAGGAGAAATAAAATGTATTCCTTTGTCAAACGTCTGCTTGCGACTCTGAATGAAAACATGAAAGCACAGCACAGACACAATGCTAATGTCATTTTAGAAGCCTACTGGGATCTGTGAAAAGGAAAAGAATACTAAACTAAATACTATTAGATACCAAGATGTATTTTATCAGTTTATCAATTTGCTGTGTCACGCCCAAGAAATCATTTGTTTTTGGTTCCTTGGGACCGAGACTCGGTGTACCCAGAAGACTGTGTATTTTGTTATTGGATTCTCACGACCGAAACAGACGTCCAATGCTTCCAAATTTATGTTTAAATTTGTTTTTATAGTAAACATTTTATTTTTGAAATCATTTGTTTTTCCGATACATTTTTGTTGTCTAGAATTTGATTAAAATTTGTTGGTTTAGCTTTAAAATACGACTTCTTGCTAGATTCGGTTCGTCTCTTGCTCTTTATGGATTTGATGTTCTATATATGTAGAGCTACTACAACTACGTAATGTAGAATGAAATCACAAATGGGCTGGGAGAGGCATTCTTTTGAAGTATTATTGACATGAGATGATAACGTGATTACCTTAGCGATAGGTAGTTTCGAAAATTCTTTAATTTCAGGCATATAAGTAGGTTGTTAGGGTATATAATTTATGTTTTGTTAGTTTTGTTCTCGCTGTGTGCTTGAAAGACCTTTGAATGTTCAGCATGTTGAATTCATTAAGTTTCACTAATTAATTCTAAACGTAATTATTGTTTGCTGCCTTACAAATGTACGTGTATTTAGTATTTACCATTATCATTTAACATTAACTTTCATTTGCATATGTGTTTGCTCCATTTATCGTCGCTTCTATTCATACTTCCTCCTTCTTCTGTTTTGTTGTTGTGTATACAAATAATATTTATTTAAAAAAAATCTCTAAGTTTCGGCAGCTACTGCATGGAGCGGAGAAGCAGTTAATGCAGATGATGATGATGGAAGCAACCGTGAGGCGTTGTCCAGCTTGCTGGGCGATGGGCAAACATCACTGCAACTGCCAGCTAGGCTGTTGGAGTCGCAAGTGGAAACCGATGGCGGTGTGTCAGTACCGGGGGAGCCTTCATTCGCTTCATTCGCCTGATGATGCTGCTGTTCCTGCTGCTGCTCTTGCTCGGCGTTGCACAGCGAGGCCTTTCCACACTCGTCCAGTATAATGTTCAACTTCTCCTTTTTCGGTTGCACGGCCAACGTGCTTTCGACAGGATTCAGGCGCAGCATCTGATGCGGCACACCGTCCTTGGTCAGCAGCTCATGCAGCGTGCTGCCATCCCGCTGCTTGGACACCTTATAAATGGCCGGACACGATTTGGAGCTCTTTACATCATTCGACTCCAGATCGAGTCGATTGATCTGCGTCAAAGGCTGCATTTCCTCCTCTTGCTCTTGATTGTTGTCCTCAACGCTGCTGCATTGGGCTAAAGCAAGGGCAGCCGCCATAGCAGCTGCCTGGCCACTGCTGCTGGCTCCCTCGGGATTCAGGTAAAGACGTGAGGCATCGAACAACAGCAGATGTGGATCCATTTTGAAGTCATGCTCCAGCTGCTTCTGCTGATCGAGATTCTCATCAATGTAGTTGATGTGAATCGGCGTGTGTTGAAGATTTAAATGCGACAAGCGCAGATCATCATCGTCCGGGGGTGTGTAATAGATTGATGCCCTACTGGCGGCATTGTTAGCGGCCCAATGTAATTTGATTTTCTGTATACTCAGCTCATTAGAGCCAGCCAGCTCCATTTGACTTTTGAAATAGCAGTCTATGTCTACAGAGAGAGAGAGAGAGGGAGAGAGATGCATTGAAGCGATTCAATGGTTCAGCTATGGATCAGATCTTACCCTCGGCTATATCCTCCTCACAGCGTCCGCGACAATTCTCAAAGTAAAAGCTGGGCAAATTCTCCAGCACCTTGTTGAGGCTCTGCTGCTGGTACTTGTAGCCCTCCCGGAGACGCAGCACTTGATGGGCACTGAACTTCCGGATCTTGTTCCGCTGGAAGACATAATTTTCCCGCACCCAGCTCAACTGGCCCGTGGAGTAGTCGCGCACCTTCTTCACTTGATCGTTGTACTGATCCTTCAGCGCCGTCAAATGATTCGAGCCAATGTCCCGGAAGTCTTTAATGTGCTTGGCCTGGGAGGTGTAGCTGCTCGATATCCATTCGACCTGCTGGGCGCAGTTCTCCCGAATGCGATGCACCTGCTGGGCATAGTTCTCCCTCAGTCTTTCCAGCTGCTGGCTCTTGTAGCTCTCAATGTTGTCGAGCATCGCATAGATCTGACGCGCCCTCGGCGACTTCTTGTTACGATTGGCACAGCAATAAAAACGATCACAGATGCCCCAACGCGAGAGGCAGCTCCGCACACCCTGCACTATGAGGGTGAGCAGCAGGAAGGCGGCAGCCGACGCGGCCCCCGCAATCAAGCTGCCAATCTTCACCCGATAAAACACAATCGGATCGATATACAGTCTGTTGTGGGAAAGTAAAAGGTCATTTAGCAATGTTTCGATGGTTTTCAAATACTAAAAAATTTGACAGTCATACCGTATACCCGCTGAGGCTTTTCCCATTACATTGAATGCATAGCAGGTGTAGAGGCCGCTGTCCACCCGCGAGATATTGTGCACCAGCAACGATCCGTTCTCCATCAGCACCACATGACGTCCGTAGAGGCTCTTTTGTCTCGTAAAGTTCATGGATTGAACGTAGCTCTCGTCCATCAAGGCAGCCAGCTCTTGGGCGCTTGGCGGCAGGCGGCGATCCTCCTCATTGCTTTCGATAATTATGGGCCGCTTGTCGGGATCGGCATGATGTCGCAAGATCTTATTGCGGGGCGTCAGCTGTAACGAAACGAATAAGCACCTGGCTACAGGGTGGCTATGTGTGTACTTACCCAAATAATATCTGGCACGGGGCTGCCCGTTATGTTGCACTCCAACTTGGCTGTGGTCAGAAGTAGATGCATCTTCGGCTCGGAAGACTGCACTGCCACGGGCACGGTACAGTTTAGATTGCTGAGGACACGCAGCATGTCCCCGGGATAGCCATAATGGCACTTCAACGCATCGATCTGGTCATCAATGCTCTCGTAAGAGTCCAGAGGCGTCTGGCTGGGATGCGTGGCGGGCAGTCGACGGAGGCTGGTGCTCGAGTTGGCCAGCCAGGCGGTCAGCCAGTACATGCTGCAGTCGCATTCATACTCGTTCCCAAGTATATTGAGGTAGTGCAGCTGGCTGAGCTCCTTGAGGCCCTCAGGCAGGGAGATCAAACGATTGCCACGCAAGCTAAGACGCTGCAGGCGCGACAGGCCCGAGATCTGTGTCGGCAGATGACGCAGACCGTTCTCGGCCAGCAGCAGTTCGCGCAGATTGCGGGCATTGGCGAACAGCGTCTCGGGCAGATCCGTGAGCTGGGGATTCTGCTGCAGCGACAGATAGCGCAGGCGATGCAGTATCTGCGGATCCACCAGCGACTCATCGGTGCGGGATATCCAGTTGGAAAAATGCTCAATGGGCGTCTCATCGATGCGAAGCAGGGCCAGGGCCCGCTGATTCTGGAAGAGACCGCTGGGCAGCTGCTTGAACTGGTTCCGACTAAGATCCATTTGCCGCAGAGCATGCAGCGGCTGGAAGATGATGGAGGACAGTGTCGTGAGGTTGTTGCCCGAGATGTTAAGGGCCAGGAGTTGGCCCAGCGACTCGAACGCCTTGCGATCGATGCTGGTCAGTGAGTTCTGTGAGAGATCTAGCTGCCGCAGCTCCCGCAGATTGTACAGACTGTGTCTGCCCAGGGATCTCAGCTGATTCCGCTGCAGATGCAGCTGTTTCAGTTGGCCGTTGCGTGCAAAGAAGTTGTCCGGGAAGGAGAGCAGACGATTGTCGCTGAGGTCCAGCATTTGGAGGTCGCGTGCCGTCTGGAAGAGCTGAAAGGGGAGTACGCTGAGCCGGTTCTTGGACAAATAGAGCCTCTCCAGCTGCACACCACCTTCGAAAATGTTGCGTGGCAGCTCTGCAAGCCGATTCTGGCTGAGATTGAGCAGCCGCAATTCGTTCAATTGGCCCAGAAAGTGCTGCGGCAGCAGCCTGAAGCCATTCCTGTCCAAATGCAGCTCCTGCAGATGGCCCATATGCTGCAGATTGATCAGACTGCAGTTGTTGTCCAGAAGGTTTCCGCTCATCTTAAGTACTTTCAGGTGTTGCATGGCCTGCGGCAGGGCCCAGTGGAGGCACTCCAAGCGATTCTCGCTGAGATCTAAACGCTCCATCTGCTCGAAGCGGTGCGGCTGCCCTTTGGCGAGCAGCACCTCCTTAAGTGGATCATCGCGCAATCCGCTCTCCAGCCAGGACAACTCTATGACATTCTCGAACTGCTGCAGCTGCAGCTTTTGCAGCTGCACCCGATCATCCGCAGGCACATGGTCAAGCATTAGCTGCTGATAGTTGATGTTGGCATTCCTTCTGGACAACAGCTCCTGATTGACGCTAGCAAGGCCGACATGCTGGCACCTCAGCTTGAACACGTTATCGGCTGTTACTACGCTGCTGTCGGAGCCCAGCTCGTGCTCCTCAATCTCCTCTGTGGCCTCATCGGCATCATCCAGCTCGTCCAGCCACAATCCCCCATCACTCTCACTATCATCTAGATCCGCATCCACCGCATGCCCCACGAATGGCAGATGGAATTTGTAGCCCAGTAGCGAGAACTCGTGCTCCTGCCAGGACCGTGTCCTGGCCCTTATCTGTGTTTGGTGCGGCTGCAGGTGGTGTTGCTGGGCTACAGCAGCATCTGCATTGCTGCTGTAGGTGGTGAGGCAGCTGCTGCTGACGGACCCGGACCCAGACCCAGGCTGGGAGGCAGTGGCAGCGGCAGCGGCCAAAACAAAGACGACGAGCAAGGCAGACAATATCAGGGGAATCTTCGATACTGCTTCCATTTTTCCGTATGTAATCTTAGATATTTATATGGTCGCATAGTACACCTGCAGGGAGGAAATGAACACACATATTAGTATTTCTTTTTCTTTTTTGGCTATTATTGATTTTGTCATTATCCCCGAAAAAGGGCCACCACCACTCCTTCACTCCTCCCTCACTCTCCATTGGATTACGAAATAAAGAACGGAGCTAAAGGGAACTAAAATCAATAGAGTTAGGTAAATATTACAAATAGAACGACGGGTAGGCAAGCGCTGCTGGGTCATAGACAACGAATGGTGAAGGGCCACTTGCGTGTCCAAATGGCGACGCACAACTTTGGTTAAATTGAATATGGAAATGAAAATGGAAAATGAAACGGGCGGGAAGGA